GCGTCCGCCTCCTCCTGTGCTGTTGCCATGGCGGCATAGGGATCCTCTCCCTGCAGCAGCAGCTCGACCTGACCAGGTGCCACTAATGGTCAAAACCCTGGTACCACTGGTGCCCTTAGTCTCCTAAATTGCTGGTTACTGGATGTTCATCCCCCACGGAAAAAAAAATGTATCTATAGGTATTGATCCATAGCCATATAAAAACATGTCCATGTCAAGTGGATCCCTCATTCTAGCTGTCGTCTAGTGGATCAATCATTCAGTGAAATCTGTATTTGCAAGCCAGATCTCCCCAAGACCCCAGACAAAAAACACCGCTGCACATCGCTGGACCCAAAAAGTGACCAGGAATCCGATGGTATAACTTTATAACCATCCATCTACATAGATGCAAAGATTCTGGCTGAATTCCCTATACACCATGATTTACCCTGCATAAATGTATCAATTCCATTAAATTCCAAGAAACAGCCGTGGTAACCAGGTCACTTGGGGGCTACCATGGGCCACCGCACACCGCGGAAAAATCTTCGCCTCACGATTCAATGGCTTGGCATTGAACTCTGTTGGATAGACCTGACAGGCGCGGGGCCCACCAGAAATATAGTCACTTCAGGGCTCAATCCGAACTGTTTTTCAGCTTACCATCCCTCCAACATAGACCCAGCCACGATTTGGGGGTTGACGTTGTTCTTTCCTCTAAAAATGGTCAGTGTTCAGGGTCTAGGGGACGGCAAACCCTTGTTTTGTGTTGTTTTGCTGGTTCAATTTCAGCTCTTGATGGTTTAATCCCAGTTTTTACTGGTTAAAGCCAAAATCTGTTTGAGGGGGGTGGTAAATTCATGGTAAAGTCACGTAAAGTCCATATGATGGTAGATCCAAGTAAATCCCATGACCCTCATCATTTCTTCTGGCCCTACCCCAGCTTCACAGCCTCCTCCACGAATCGTTTCAGCTTCACAGCCTCTGTTTGAGGTCGCTGGGTCGAAGTGCTGGAAGCGGAACTCCAGAAGACAGGAAACATGCGATGAAAACGGATGGACATATGATGGAAATCGATTGAAATCTCCCAAGACCCATAAAATTTGGATGAACTCTCTGAAAGAGTGAAGAGCAAGTAAATGAAATCGGGGAAAAACAAAGAAACCGATGATCCACGATATTTGTGTGTTTCATCTGTTTTCTGTGAACGCGGCCAGAATCCAGAATAAAGACTTCGCATCTATTGTGTTCCATCATTTGTTTTGCACCTTCATCCCACAAGAAATCAACATAAATGTGGCTACTAGTGCGCCTCCCCCACAAGCGTATTCCAAAGAGACCATGGGAATAGAAAGTTATTTAATCATTTCTGTAATCATATTAAATACTGACAAACATATATACAAATGCCAAAAAAAAATACAAAGGCCCAATATAGCGACGCATACCCCAAAATGATTACATTTCCCCGACTTCCCTTTGTGCTATGTCATAGGACCACAGCAACCTGTTATTTTGTGCGGGTCCCGAGCAAGCACATCTTGAGACAAGAAGCCCACTTCGCTCGCCAGTTGGCAACCTTCTTCACAATCTTGTTCCACTCCAGTCCCTGCGTATGCAGAAACGTGGCTCATGTGGCTCCGTCCAGAAAATAAACGCACATAACAACAGAGGATTTAGCTCCAAAAAATTAGCCACCATTGGCAACCATCAAAATTTTGGATTAGCATGGGTATCATATGTTTGGACAAAGCCAAAACTGGTTGGCGGTTTTAACCATCTTGAGAAATATTAGCCAATGGGAAGGATTATCCCATATATTATGGAAAATAAAAATGTTTGAAACCACCAACCAGATTAAGACATCAAGCTTCACTGCCATGGAGTGCCAGTGCCATAGCTTTGATTCGTTTGCTGCTGAAAATCACCAGTCTATCTGAGCCTTGCTGTACTGTTTGATGTTGACGACCCTCTTTTTTAGCAAAACACACCGTTACATGCATAGAAAATCGTAGAAAGGTTTCTTAAGAAAGGTTTCTTGGAATGTATTCCATGGATTTCCATGGTAGGATCCTGTCGCCATCGCAGTTCAACCGAACCCCGTCGCTCCAGCGTTTTTTGATGCGGGGGCATGCCCGGGGTCGTCTTGGCGGGTGGAACCCACCTGACAGGGACAGTCGTCATCTCATCTTTCGAATCATTCATGATTTTGCAACCCAACATTTCAGATTCAATATAGGAACATGCCGGAAAAAACAATTCTTGGATGTGGTTGGATGATTCTTCCGCATGCTCTCTACAACCATCTACAACCAATCTTGCAGCCGCGCTTGAAATCGCGCCGCTCAGAGGTAGGAATCCCGGTAGAGCTTCGCCCTTACCTGGAGAGATACCATATATTAAAATGCCGATCTCTTTGCTGTCTCAGAGATCCCCAATAGAGGTTGATTCCTGGGGACAAACGGTATGCCCCCAGCCTATGCAGCATTCATCGTGGGATTCAACGTCACTTTGAATCACTGGCATCGCTGGCAAAAGTACTACATATCAAGTGGGTGTCACTGATGCATTTTACAAAGGGGACCCGGGGAGTTCAATTGAAATTCTTTTTTTTCTTATCGCCAACGCATCTCATGGCGCCAATTGGAGCTGTCAATCCCTATCACCACGGTGAAAAATCCCGACCCCGAAGAACAATTCGACTTGACCTTGGAATTGTCCAGCCCCCATGTTGAATGTTGCCTGAGGTTTAAGGGAACCTCCCAAAGATTCCCTGAGCCATTCGAAGCTTTGAAGGAAAAATGTCTTGTGTCTCTGTGTCTCTGGTCACAGAAAAGAGTCGACAAACAGCCCTGGCTGCAGGCACCCCTTGAAAGGGTGGGAGCCAGGGAAGCCCTTAAACTGAGTCACCTTTCAGATGATCAGCTTGAAAACTCCCGGAGCCCAGCACCGAGGGATGAGGTGAATATGGGTCAGAAAAGTTGTCACCTTCCAAATCCAATAATGAATGGACATCTCTCAACTATCTAATTTCATGTTGGAACCAATGCAACATTACATAATATTATATATATATATATATACGTATAGTACATTAATTCATCTTACAGGTCTTTCATACACTTTTTCCAGATGTTGGAATATGCCGACCTCGGTAACTGGTCTTCTCCTCTGAGGCTGGACTCCGGCTTTCAGTACAGGAAAGGTGGGCCGAGACTTGCTGGGCCCTTACATTTCAAGTAGTTGCTGCTTCATCTAGCTTTAACTAGCGATTTTAGGGCTTCTTGGACCGGTAGCTCGTAAGATCTCGTAAACTATTTGGCATTTCATCGTCAGCAAATTGCATATATCATCCCTTTCTTCCCTTGCTTGTCGGTCATATCAGATCGGGCTCGTTTTTTAGATGTCGGCAATTTGAACATATTCCCACATGGATGAAATCCTAGATGAACACCCCCCCAAATGATGGCTTCTTTCTATCCGACTACCTTTCTGGATTCTTAGGTTTCTACGGAGAATCTGCCAATGCTGATCGTATTGCAATCAATCGCCAGTCAATTGAGCAGTGCTAAAACCTTCATCCTCATTTTGGAGTATGGATTAGTTCATAATCCCAATCTATCTATATATATACATATCTTCTGTTTAAAAACCATAGGAGCCCCATTTTTTTAAAAAAAACTGACATTTCTTGTTTCAATCTATATCTCCTTCGTTGGCTTAGTCACAGCCAAGAAAACGCTCAAGGTTTACCCTCAGTTCAGCAGCTTCTCAGCCTGCTCAGCCGTCAAGTTACTGCCGAACCTGGGGCGTCCAGTTGGTGGGTGTCTGGAAATGGGTTACCCCCATGCAGTTTATGGCACTTTAAAGAAGGAACGTGTTGATTAACATGGGATGTTGGGCTCAAAAATGATTAAAATTTAAATCTATGAACCATTATAATCATATGTTTAGATTTGTTTAAATATCCCAACATGGGATCAATAATCTTGGACAAAGGCTTTTCAAACCATGGTGAAGTATACGGACTGCACGATGATCATCCAGTGCATGCCCTGGAGTTACATCATCTTCCCTGGGGTGTCCTGCATCTGCGAACAAAATTTCACCGAGCTTTCCCCTGATTCAAAAATGATCAAACAGATACAGTAACTCGGATGATAACGTGGATCCCCCGTGGTGCAGTTTACGACCCCTTTTGTTAAGATCTCAGCTCAGGACTCATAGTTATCCTGCAAGCCATCCCAATCCAGTTGCCACTGGTTGAAGCCTCAACTGGAGAAACATGTGAAACATCTGGCTGTGTCCAATCACCTCCAGATCAAGAAAGCATGTGCATATCGAACCATATATAGAAACCCGGAATGGCTTCAACAATTCAAAGATCGTGAGATGATAGTGCACTCTTTCTTTCTATGCTGAGGAAAGAGTCAGAGTGCACGATTCCGAATCGTACCCTCTGGTCAACGTTTACATAACGAACTGGAAAATCACCATTTATAGCTGGGAAAATCTACTAGTTCTATGGCCATTTTCAATAGCTATGTAAACGTTTACCAGAAAATATCATATCAAAAAAAACATTGTAACCACGATTATCCATTATTCACCATCCATTCACCACTACTTTCACCACTCTCATTCTCTCTTTCGGCGAATGATTCGTGTCCATCTCCACGTTTGTCCAGCGGCCAAAGCGAGGGTTATCCCTGCGGGCCGAAATGAAGAAGTCCTGAAAGCAAAACGGGATGTCCATGGGAAGTAACCAAAATGAAAACATCTGGTAGTGCATCATTATTCATAATAACATATAATAACTCAGTTTATTGTAGTGCATGATTATTAAAAGATAATATTAAATTAACATAATTCCATTAAAATAAATTATCACCATTTATAATTCATAATAACATCAGTGGCTGGTTGGTTGAAGCACCATTTTTTTTAAAAAAAATGGACAGTTCGTCAGTTCGATCACCACTCGGGTTAGGTCGTTCCAATCCATGTGAATCCAAAGATCACATGCGTTGGGAAAAAATGGAAAAAACGTCGCTATTTTCTGGTATCTTTTGAAGATTTGCATGTTTGCCTTGCAGAAAATCCAGGAATTTCCATCGGATTTGGAGCTTCCATGGGAGAAAATCCATGGCTTTTCCCGAGCTTTTCTCAACCATTGCCCCCCGGCCCCGGCCACCGCCGCGGCAGTCCGCGTTGGTGATGGCGTCGAAGACCGGCAGCTTCGTCTCGGAGCGCAGGGCATCGGCGTAGGGCGGCAGCTCAGTGCACTCCAGGCCTCTGATCGAGATGGGAAACGTCAGGTTTTTGGGTATATATAATATGGAATAATATGGAATATAGGAATATATATTTACTGGCATATCTATATATATAATGGAATAGTATGGAATATAGGCATATCCCAGATGCTCCATGGTGCTGGTATTTTCTGGTAAACACACAAAAAACGATGGAAAGATCCACCATTTTTCATGGGTAAATCCACTGGGAAATCAACCATATTGATCCATATTGGATATCTTTTGGTGATTAGTGGAATATATCCTGTGGGTAATGAATGGGATATAGTTCATGGGAAAATTAATGATAATGGTGATTTACTGGCATATAATGGAATAATATGGAATATAGGCATATCCCAGATGCTCCATGGTGCTGGCTAATCCTCTGGTAAACACACAAAAAAACTATGGAAAGATCCACCATGCTATTCATGGGTAAATCCACTGGGAAATCAACCATATTGATCCATATTGGATATCTTTTGGTGATTAGTGGAATATATCCTGTGGGTAATGAATGGGATATAGTTCATGGGAAAATGAATGATAATGGTGATTTACTGGCATATAATGGAATAGTATGGAATATAGGCATATCCCAGATGCTCCATGGTGCTGGCTAATCCTCTGGTAAACACACAAAAAACTATGGACAGATCCACCATGCTATTCATGGGTAAATCCACTGGGAAATCAACCATATTGATCCATATAGGATATCTTTTGGTGATTAATGGAATATATCCTGTGGGTAATGAATGGGAGATAGTTCATGGGAAAATGAATGATAATGGTGATTTACTGGCATATAATGGAATAATATGGAATATAGGCATATCCCAGATGCTCCATGGTGCTGGCTAATCCTCTGGTAAACACACAAAAAAATTATGGAAAGATCCACCATGCTATTCATGGGTAAATCCACTGGGAAATCAACCATATTGATCCATATTGGATATCTTTTGGTGATTAATGGAATATATCCTGTGGGTAATGAATGGGATATAGTTCATGGGAAAATGAATGATAATGGTGATTTACTGGCATATAATGGAATAATATGGAATATAGGCATATCCCAGATGCTCCATGGTGCTGGCTAATCCTCTGGTAAACACACAAAAAAATTATGGAAAGATCCACCATGCTATTCATGGGTAAATCCACTGGGAAATCAACCATATTGATCCATATTGGATATCTTTTGGTGATTAATGGAATATATCCTGTGGGTAATGAATGGGAGATAGTTCATGGGAAAATGAATGATAATGGTGATTTACTGGCATATAATGGAATAGTATGGAATATAGGCATATCCCAGATGCTCCATGGTGCTGGCTAATCCTCTGGTAAACACACAAAAAAACTATGGAAAGATCCACCGTGCTATTCATGGGTAAATCCACTGGGAAATCAACCATATTGATCCATATTGGATATCTTTTGGTGATTAATGGAATATATCCTGTGGGTAATGAATGGGATATAGTTCATGGGAAAATGAATGATAATGGTGATTTACTGGCATATAATGGAATAATATGGAATATAGGCATATCCCAGATGTTCCATGGTGCTGGCTAATCCTCTGGTAAACACACAAAAAAACTATGGACAGATCCACCATGCTATTCATGGGTAAATCCACTGGGAAATCAACCATATTGATCCATATAGGATATCTTTTTGTGATTAATGGAATATATCCTGTGGGTAATGAATGGGATATAGTTCATGGGAAAATGAATGATAATGGTGATTTACTGGCATATAATGGAATAATATGGAATATAGGCATATCCCAGATGTTCCATGGTGCTGGTATATTTGCCTACATTTGGATGATTTTTGGGGTAAATTGTGATACATATTCCATACATGGAGCATATGAGCATATGGGTATGGTAAAATCTATAGTAAATACACTATTATTGTAAATCCACTATAGTAAATCTCAGTGTTACTCTAAATCATCTAAAAATCATCTCTCGTAATGTTGATTTATAGATCATCTATATAATAAATATAATGGATATAAGTGGCTGAATTCTATGGTCTATGGTAGATATAACGAACTAGTTAAGGGTGGTTATAAACCAACCAGAACCAACCTATAACTATAAGTAGAGACCAAAACCCTTGTACTGTAAGATACACTGTATATACTGTAAGATAGCTGATGGATGGTGGATTGTATATACTATCAATCATCTACAAATAGTAAATTAGTAAATCCACAAAAGTAACAGTTGGTTGGCCAGGATGTTTAATAGCAAACTGTTACTGTGGATACAATCCGAAAAGTAATTACAAGCTCCTTATCATGGTGATTATTATATAGTATAATCAATAATATTATAGTTTTGGGTTAGCATATATGAACATGCATGGTCAATCTTTGATAGTACCAACAAAAACAAGCTCTTGCTGGTGATGATGATTTCATATCATTTTCCATAGCCAAAAACAACAAAACTACCATAAACTACCCTTCCAAGGTTGGGAATAAATATGAAGGGGTTCTTAAAATGGTTGGATTGCAGCCCTCCATGGTTTGATTAATATGTTTTTGGGGTCGTTGGATGACAACCATCATTATAGTTACCCTCTGGTTATGACTAACATAGCCATGGAAAATGACCCATTTATGGATGGTTTACCTGGGTTTACCTATTAAAAATGGTGATTGTCCATGGCTATGTTAAATAACCAGAGGGATCCAGAGGGTATATTTAGTATAATCACTATGATTATCGTTGCTATCATCATGACTATGATGATTATTACATAGTATTACTATATGGGGGGTCTCCTTAAAACCATTGTTTCAATGAGTCATGGTCATCCATGACTTGGATGATTTGAGGTACCCCCATGAATTAGGAAACCGCCATGTGTATAGCAACCCACCCAAAAGGATAGAAAAGGTTCAATTTACAGTATGTTATTGTATACTGCGAGTTTAGACTCTGAATTTACGTCATTTTTAGTTTTCTATCTTTTTGATTCTTTTTGGGGGTTACTATACATGATATGGTCATATATGGCCATGGATCAATATTTATAAACACCATTTTGGGGGGAATGGGCATCCATAAATCTAGCCATATTTTTGTTTGGGATATTCACCAGTGGCACATGGTTTTGACCCATCCCAATATGATCTAGAGACATAGATATTGGTTGGTTTGTAGTAATCATAGACTAATAGAAATGGATACACATCTAGATATGGTTATGATATGGACAAATGGATAAATTGATGGATAAAGAAGGGAACAGCTATGCAAAGATTATCCAGAAATAAGTGTGGGATTGTCACCTACCAACGTGGGAATGACAGGCAATCTAAGCTGCAACTTTATGGGAGTTCTTTATCTTGACTTACCCTCTGTTATCTAACCTGGCAGTATGATTCTGCTGGTGACGGGATGTTCCATTAGCGACAGAGGGAACATCAATTGGGGTCACCAAGCGAGTTTCATGTTCATGCTCTGGATATCTGTGAACTTCTTGATTCTTTGGAATCATGATCCAACATCGGGGATCTAAACGGGGATGCCAAGCAAGTCACGGGCTGTTTTTTAACGACTCGTGGACCAACAGCCAAGCGGCAAATGGCACGAATGGATGCGTGCTGCTTCAGAATCTGCTTCACCTGAGGAAAAAGCCATTGCCATGGGATAAGCCAAATTTAGGGCGAATTCGGAAAGCCATGGCTGTGGGGATCATAAATGGTCATAATATCATATAATATCATATAATATCATATAATATCATATAATATCATATAATATCATATAATATCATATAATATCATATAATATCATATAATATCATATAATATCATATAATATCATATAATATGTTTAAAACAATTACATAGAATTGTACGAAATTCAAGTGTGCAATAGTCAATAAATAGTCAATAAAGTAGAACCACAGCTGAGTGTGCAACCAGCTGGATCCATTTTGAGATCTTTGAGTATACAGTCTTGAGCGAAATGTCAGAAAATTCTGGCTGTTGCCCCAGCTTTCCTCAAGTCGGATTGGATATCATACACGGTACAAGTAGCCATGCAGCCCTCTGTGCTTCCGAGCCATGTAGACAATACCCGGAGTGACGTATTCCACATCCACCTGTGCAGAGTTCGTGGCATTCATGGCCCTTAGGACAGACAGGAGAATGATGAACTATAGCTTTTCTGAAAAATGTTACCTGAACATTCCTTTGATCAATTATTTTTGGTAGCTTTGGAGTACCTAAAATGACCCACTTTTTAGGACTTGGAAGGCCCAGGTATTTCCATGTGACTCCTATGGGAATAAATCCATAGATTTCGATCGATTCAAGTTTTAACGGTCATCTCTAAAGCAATGGAATTCTACTGGATTTTGCATGTTTTGGTTTGTTTTGCTACAATTTACTTCGCAAAGTGTTGGTGCCAAAAGTGCAATCCGATAGCATTCGAATAGACTTTTCGGAGCCTACTTTTCCACCAGAATTTCTGCATCCGCACCTTCTCACCCTTGGCCACGGCATCGAATCCGGGCACGTCTTGGCAACCCACAATCCTGGTCAAGGTGCAGCTGCGATCAAAATTTCCAGTTGGACACATGCAACTTCCAGAACTCCTGGATTTTAGTGTCGGGAACTGTCGTCACAGCATTGGGAATCATATGGAATCAATGTATTCTGCCGAGAAAGGTCATTGCAATAAGTTATTTCCCGATGCAGCTGGCTGAAAAATCGTGCCGTTGCATGCCGTTGGGGCCATTGGACGTCCCTCTTACAGCAGCACTGGCAGCAAAAGGAAGCAGTAAAGATAGAAGGGAAGCAAGGTAGAAAGCAAGCAGAAAAGAAGACAAGCAAACGACAAGCAAAGGCAAGCAGAAAGCAGTCATTTTCGGCAGGCAGAAGCAGAGTTCCTGACGATTCACAAACTCCTGAAATAATGTATTTTCGGGATCCCCATACTGACCATGACGAGTTTGGTTAGCTTGGCCTTCGAGGTTGCTGAAAGCAAACGCTGGGAAACCATATGGTATAGAGTTTGCCTAGCGATTGTACTTAAGTGGAAAGTCCTATCTGTTTCAGTTTGAGAATGAAGTCCCCAAAAAAATACAAAAAACAAACACTGTTTTGAGAATGAGGTTTCAGTCATAACATTCTGCTGAACGAAAAAAACTTGACTTGGAGACGAGGTTGACCATCCTTTGGAGTTGAATTCTACTCGGATTGAAACATGCGCAGCATGACTCACCAACCCTTACTTGGATGTCCATCTAAGTTGGTAACTGGATAATAAACTATACAGTACATTCATATACATATATATATATATACATACATACATATCTACATATCTTACATCATTCCATATCTTACTGCAGTGATATCCAATATACAACCGCGTTTTTTTTTTCCCCGCAGTTCTTGACAACTCGTCTCTGCGTCCCCCATCCCCGCCATATCCCCTGCCACGGCCCACATGAAGCGCCGATCATCCACGTTGAAGCCACACTGTTTCAGCAAGGTCTCCTTCTGAGGCTTCAAACTGTCGCCCTGGCAGTTGGGAAAAGGCCCTGCTGATTTCCCATTTGTCCCCAGAGATCAGTACCAAGAAACTGGAATTCTGAATCTTCAAATTGAATCATGCTGGGTCACTGGTGTTTCCCGACACTACCATGTGCATCCAATTGCTATGTGGGAAATCTTCATTGCCCAAACAAACAAACATATTCATCAACACTTATTGTTGGCGGATTCCTATAGCCGCCGAATTCTTATAGCCAATATCATGTTTGGATGATTGTTGAACCTCTATGGTCAAGATCAATTGATCCCCTACTCGAAGGAATCCCCTGGGTCTCGGTTTCAGAAACCGTGCCAAACCGTGCAGCCAAGCATCATTTGCTGTGAGAATCAGAATCTTGTCATATTTATCCTCAGGGCAGGCAGTGCCATTCAAATGACTCCCGTGAAATATGTGAAATTCATTGAAATTCCGGGACCCAGCGGGACCCAAGTAAACTTACTGTACTGGCTCCCTGGAGTTCATGAAAGCGATTGCGATTTGGACGAAAGCGACCATGCCAGAGACTATTAAAACCGATGAAATTCGTGTAGCAAAGCTGTTTGGTTTAGAGGCACTCCCAATTTTCTTGTATGATTGCAGTGTTGAAATAGATGTAAGCAGCATAGTCCAGCATAGTCCCAAAGAAATATTTGTTTGAACGGTCCGTCTCTGTACCGTCGGAGTTTCAAATATGACTTAGGAATGCCAATGCTCTGTGAGCTGGGTGCAGCCTGCGAAACACGAATCTGAAGGTCAAAAGAATTTTGTCACAATATTCAATGTCGTAGAAGTTGATATGCAGCGAAAGGATACGACGTTTCTTTTCAAGTTTGCTAAACAAATCAAACAACACATTCATTGAGGAATTGAGGATAGCAGAACGGAAATGCTCCGCAAAGCATCGTACAAACTCTTCAGTGATGTGCGTTTTCTCCCCTGCTCTTTGGTCCACAGCATCTCGCCCCGAACACCTCGTTGCCAAGAGGCGAAAGCAATGGAAATCATAGGGCACTGCATCATGGCACTCATAAAGACGGGCACCGATGCAATCGCACCTGGCCGACATGTGCGATCCCAGATCATGCTGATCCCAGATGTTCAGCTGAAAAACGTGTTTCTCTTAAGTGAATATTGTATACTTACATTCAAACACACACATACATATGTATATACACAATATATATATATATATACATATATATATATACACTATAACATATATAGATATATATATATACTATTATATATATAATTATATAATTATATAAATGTGTATAAGTATACCACACATTTCAAACAGGCGCCAAGGGACTGGCCAACGGCTGGAAAGCCATCATAAAGCCACAGTCACCTGAGGTTCCAAAACAGACCCCGAAAAAGAACCCCCCTTCCCAAACTGGTTGTGGTTTCAACCCCTCTGCAAAATATTAGTCAGTTGCGAATATTATTCCCAATATATGGAAAAATAAAAAATGTTCCAAATCACCAACCAGCAAAGAATCCCCTTTCTTAGATTGCGATTGCCGCTGATGAAAAGCACATAGGTCTTGAACAGGCTGAATTTAGGCAGGTTGAACATCAAGATGTTGGACACGCAGAAAAAGAAACGTATCTTTCCACTACTTTCATGTTTGAAATCCGGCTGCTCAAGGGTCATAGCCCATGGAATTTCCTTGCAAAACGATTATATATTTCCGCCGAACAAAAAATGTCCAATGAATTTTGATCCATTCCCATATGGCAACTTGTCAAAATGCCGGACCATGTATAGACCCTTCATCTCTTGCCTCAAGATGTTTTCAGGTTGCACCTACTGCAGTCAGCCACAAACCTTTCAATTATAGGTTTTTCTGGGTTTATAATGTATAATACGCAGTGGTTTCTAAAAACAAAATAGGTTGCCATACACCATGTACAGACACACCCAAATACCATTTTGTTGGTTTCATATCCCACTCATCCCCATTTTGTCAACAGTATACTTGATCTAAATTGGTAAAGATGATTACTCCCCCCAATTAATAGATTAATTTCAAATGCGTGGTTTTAGTGAAGATTATTATCCCATTATTACAACCCCCATTTTTTGCTATATATAGTTACCGACTCAACACACCCAGCTTGAGTCGATGATTTGCTGGAGGTGTAAGGTGATTTTAATATTTAAAAACCTAATTTACCCTCTGGTAAACTAACATAGCTATTAATAAAAATGGCCATTTATAGTTGATGTACTCATTCAAAATGGTCATTTTCCATAGTTATGTAAACGTTTACCCAGAGCATAGAACCTAAATAAACATCAATAAACTACCATTCAAACGTCCAGAAAACCACCATAAAACCACTGGATCTTCCAGAGTTTCCGAGAGTTTCCACCAGCGGCACCGCGATGCCAAGGAGCCGGTGATGCCACTGACGCCTTTCCGCTCCAGCCAGCGCACGGCGTCGATGAACTCCTGCTCCACGGCCTGTCGCGTCGCTGTCGCTGCGGAGACTGGGGATTCTTTCTGAGAATATACTAAGCATGATATTGTTGTTGGGTATACTCAGCATATTATACTTTTTGCTGAGTATATTGTTGTTGGGTATACTAAGCATATGTTATACTGAGAATACACTGGGGATCTTGTTGTTGGGTATATACTGCATGATTATTGTTGGATATACTCACTGTACTCGGGATAGCTGCATTATTGGGTTCATTGTTGGGTTTCCCACAAAAGGTATACTGGAGAGACTTCTTGGGGTAAGCGGATATAGATTAGTAATGGACATCAATACACGTGAACTCCCATTTAGGAAAAAATAAATTATTATATATTGTTATATATTGATGGATTTGATATTATGCGTTATACTCCCATTTAGGATTTGAACAGATATACTAATGGATACCAACAAATATTAACGGTATGTAACCAACAATTTCTCAGGGTTTGTCCTAAATGTCCTGAAATGGTGGATATAAAGGGATGTCATAGGGATATCACGGAGATATCATGGAAGTATAATGTGGAGACAATGGTGTGTATACATATTACCACCAGTATGATATTGGTTCTGTCTGAAAAGGTGATTGACCCCACAAAATATTGCATCTTTGGGCAGAATGATAGCGAACCAAAAAGAGTCTTAGGGTCAGACAAACCCACAAAAGAACATCTTAGATGATTCTTAGGTTACATTACATAAAATACATAAAGGACTATCAAGGCATGATATGATTCACCTAAGTTGCAGGATTCCTGTTCCCCTTTTGAACACTCTCCAGGTTGTCAAACATCGCCTTTCAAACCTCCAAGGCTTTGATCAAAACTGGAATCCTGCACAACAATTTTATTGCTTGAACCAATCTTGAGAAAATCCAGAAACAAACTAAACAAAACCCAACAAATTGCAACTTCAAAAAACCACCGCGAGTCCAAAAACTGCTCTCCTGAGATGATTATGGACTCAAAGCCTGGTACCCTGCAGCTCCATCATAAAATCTGATTGTTACGGATACTCCTCCATAAACTCAAAATATGGAAAAAATCACATCTTCTCTTAAATTCCCCTATAGGACTAGTCAACTAGTCCACAACCCTGTTTAAACCAGATTACCTAACCCCGAGCCCAACCATAATCTCTGATTGAAGTTTCCATTATTTTTAATTAGTGAATCCATCCATTTCGGGTAGGTCAAATCATCATATAGTTTCATGGCAAGTTGCCAAAACCTATGGAACGAAATAGTTCTTGACTGATTTTGACGCGCTAAAATACATTGGACAAGTCCATGACACCAGCTAAAATGCTCCAGTTCGCACGTAGAATGATAATGATACTCATAAATAATGGGACAACAATAGTGGGACCACAATGATCAGAGTCAGAAACCGGCGCGGTCTTCAACGACAATATATTGTATAGATATGCAACATAAATCCGCACTTGAATCCCCATCAACAGTACCCAGTAAGTCTGACCCCCACCAACCATTGAACCATATAAAACCTTATTAGTTAAACCCACTATATAAACCAACTGCAATAATGGTTGGTATCATATTTAACCCCCACACTAGACCAAAAAAACTTCACTAAACCATATCGAAAACATGTGTAAACCGTCTTAATGTGGGTAAAATACTGCCATAAACCATCCCCCAGTCATCACCATTGTTATAGGTGGTATATATGGCTAGTTTATGACATTGTTTTACCCATGTTATATCATTTCTAGATGTTTTTCCCATCAAACACCATTTAAGTCGCCATATTAAAACCATATCCAAAACATGTTAAAACCATATTAAACCATGGTTTTCGCCATATTAAAACATTGTAAAACCATTTAAAAATGTTGGTATATCGACCATTCCTATAGATTTCCCTATAGTATATAGAGTTTTGATTGGATAACCATCATTACAATGTGGTGCCCCCCAGATATAAGTTGGTTTATAAACCCCATTAACTATAGTTATAAGTATAATAAACTATAGTTATTGGAGTTATAAACCAACTTAGCTATCTAGGGGGCCCCACATTGTAACCATGGTTTACCCATATTAACCCATATTGGCCCAGTGTGGGATCCCCCCTAGTCCCGTGGTGCCTCACTGAGTTTGCCGGACTGCGCCATGGCGAAGGTGAAGCCTGGAACCACACGGAACAGCACCTGGCCGAACAAAGATGGAAAACAGAGTAAGTGGCTGAATTCTATGGTTTATGGTAGATAGATGGGGTTTATAAACTAACTTAATTTTCTATCTTACCCCATTCTAGTGTGAATTCTATGGTTTATGGTAGATAGATAATGATATAACCGGATATAACGAACTAGTATTCATGGGGTTTATAAACCAACATTCACATCACAATTTCGCCCCATCCTGTAGGGATACTGCACCAAAAAAGGGAATTATCAGGAATTATCTCGGGATGATTCCGGATCTTTGATTTTTTTGTTGTAAAACCAAGGGAATCCCGGATACGATACCAAAAATGGGAACTATTTTAGATGAATGTCTGAAACCCTGGCTGCCATAAACCTACCATGACTGGGAATGGTAAACATAGCACCCATTATTGGGTTTATCAACTATTCCGGATGGTTGATTTGTTTTGGGTTTATTATCTAAGTATTTTATGGATCATGTTGATGCAAATGGTGACATATATAAACCATAGTAACATGATTTAACAGAGATGCCTGGATATTTTTAGTGCCGGAAAACCAATCATAACCTCCCATTTGGGGATGGTTTATGCCGCTCATTTCTGGTAGAGATATGTGGAAATGGTGTTTATGATTAACGGCTGTACCGGTGTACCGCAAAAATTATTGCACATGACTGTACTTGTTCAAATTGACCCAGCATGCGTGTATAATGTAATGATTGATGGTTGCTAATCCATGCTAATCCCATCTCCCCATATCAAATGCCCTTCATGACAGGGCCCCCCTTTTCGGGGCCACCACTAAACCAAGGATTTCGCTTCCCACTGTATGTTATAGTTGTTACATGGAAGGGATTTGTTACATGGATATAGAAGCCACCGAAATAGTAAGCTTATGCCATGAATGACCACCTAAAAAGTTGAGGAAAGCCTGGGTAGGGGATCATCGGATCATCCTCCGCAATGTTGGAATGTGTTGGGATAGAAATTCACGTGGGGAATCATCCTCACACCGGCAGCCAATTTCAATTGGATGGACATACGAAAGGACGGGGAAAGATCAGCTGGTAATGGGACGCACCGCACCAAGCATTTACCCTCCAGTAAAGAAAGTCCACCACTTGTAGATCATTGAGGAAACCATGTGTTTTCCAGTTCTATGATCGAAGGAAGTTTAGACGTCAAACTTCCAACAATATGGACAGATGAAAAGCAGAGGTGGGAAGAGTCAGAGAAGAGAAGAAAAGAAGAAAGAAGATCAGGGAAGAGAAAGAGTCAGAAGACAGACTTCTCAGAAGCTGCAGGTGCGCGAAAAGGTAGCAAAGTCGCGCAACACTGCAACACTATGTTTTTTCCAATGATTTGCCGCTCCGGAGGGTTGAAAAGTAGGCTCGCTGAAGCGACGGGTGTGGAGCCATGTGGTCAGATGAACAGGTGGAGTGGAAAAATTGCAAAATGCATTGGTACGAGGCCGCCAGGTCTGCACTCAACTTTCCATTTTTGAAGGAAGTCTCGCAGAATAGCTTCGCAGACTTGCTTCCTTTTTGACGTTATCAAGTTCAAGAGTTGAGGAAGTCTCACAGGTTTTCGATAGACAGATAGATGGATAAACAACTACAACTACAACTACAACTATAACTACCACCACACTACTACTACTACTACTACTCCTTCTCCTCCTCCTCTGCTACTACTACTACTACTACGACTACTACTACTACTACTACTACTGCTACAAATACACATGAACTACGCTACATTACACTACACTGATTACACTACACTACGCCACACTACACTACACTAATTGCATCTAACTACGCTACACAACATTTATTACACTACAACTACAACAGCTACTACTACCACAGCTACAACAACAATATCAACTACACCACATTACACTACACCGCACTAATTACACTGCAGTACGCTACAACTACAACTACACTACATTACACAAGACTACGCTACATTACACAACACTACACTACACTACATTAATTACATTGCACTGCGCTACAACTACAACTACAAGTGTAACTACCACTAAATTGCACTACACGACACTGCACTAATTACACTACACCACACTACAACTACACTACCTTACACTACACTACACTACACTAGACTACACTTCACTATACCGCACTACAGTACACAACACTACAGCACACTACAGTACACAACACTACAGTACACTACAATGCACTACACTAATTACTCCACACCACAAGTACAACTACAACTGCGACTGCAACTACACTACACTTATTATATGCACATTACAACTACAACTCCACTATGTCACACTACAACTACAACTACAACTGCACTACACCACACTACATCCAGCAGTTGTGGGTGAGGTGACCACTGCAACCATTGCAACCACTCCAAAAACACAACTTCAATCACCTTTCGGTCCATCAGTGGATTCGCTCTGCCATCCGTGATTCACAGCAGCCAACCTCTCCTATAGGTTTCCTATTCTGAAACTTCCGCCAGCGCCTTGTGCGGTACTACTGGTAGTTTGCCACAGGGTAAATACAAGTTTATAGTAAAAAGCCATCGGCAATATTGTGTTCATTGCAGTTCAATCCTCGTGCCAATTGTTTTCAGTGGGGCACATCGTAGTCATAGCTGCCAGGGAAATCGATGTCACCCGGTGCAGGAGGGTAGTTGTAGTCCAAACGAATGACCTTGGACTGCCAGCTCTGCTCAGTTGCAGTTGCTGCAGGTGCCATTTCCGTGGCGGGTGCTCCCGATTCTTGGGTCAGACTCGTTGACACCAGATTGATTTGGTATGCATTTGACAAAGGAACATGACTCGCCTCTCTCAAGTGGAGCTACAACCTGACAATTAGAGTCCTTCAGGTCTGACTGATGGTAAACCAATGCAACAAATCTTTGGAAATTATCGTATCCCAATCCTGGAAATTCAGAACGAACACCTGAAAGGGGTCACACTCTTCTTCTTACTGGTGCTACACGCAGTTCAATGCAGGGAATGATATGGAATGATCTATAATAATGTATAACAATTATCCCAGCAACCCCCATTCCTTACGACGCCGAATCGGCATTTCCAAGAGACGCCCAGAATCGGTGCTTGCTGCTTTCGAACTTTGCGTTGCACCTTGTCCAACTTCTTCCTCAGAGGGGATTCCAACCTTCCAGGCTACATGAAACCTCCACTGGTTGGTGGTTGACCTACCCCCCTGAAAAATATGACTTCGTCAGATTGGATCATCATCCCAAATATTGGGGAAAAAAATGTTCTAAACCACCAACCAGCCTCCTATATCTATATCTATAATGTCTTTGTATGTTGAACTCTTTGACAGCAGCAACAAGAAAAAACATGATACGATTCAGCCAGTTTTTGAGGGTCAAACATCCAATTTGCTGGCATGTTTTCATGCAACCATGAGAACGGTTGATCAGCAACTCACTGACTAAATTATCCTAAATTAATGTACATAAATATATATATATATATAAGATCTAGATAATCTGGACCAGCTACAAGCATTTTTAGACCTGCCTTGAGTTAATTTAAGACGACGCGTTGATAGTTACCCACGTATCAATCACCATAGATGTCTGCAGGTCGCGATTCTCCAGATTTGCTGGCAGCAGGAACCCCTTTGCTTCCCGAACAGCACAATAATCTTAAACTTGCAGTAAATGCAGTTGTTTAACTACTTTAAATATACTCAAAAGATCTCAAAAGCAGTCTTGTTTGCATCTCGAGCCAGATTAAGAATGATTAAGATGCAATCGAAGCATTTAGGAAACCTATGAGGAGACATATCTGGATTGCTTGGTTTGCATCTCGAGCATCTTATGCAGCAGCGCTGCTTGTTTCTTCTCCTCAGACCAAAAGCTAAAGGAATTTGCAGTGGTGGAGCAACTCCAACATCGAAGTCAGTGGGATGATTCCTGGTGAAAATCCTACACTTTTGCAACCACGTAAGCAGAACATGTGTCTTACTTAAGACACTTAAGGCCTTTCAGATACTATCCGAAAGGCCAAATACCTCTAAAATCTTCATAGCTGTCTGAAGACATCGTGTTCTACATACCTGAATATTCAAACATCCTGTTTCTTTTTTTAACATGTTGTTTTAACTCACAATCCCATGGTTTGAGACGTTGGCGATTGCCCAGCCAGGCTCAAAATATCATCTCATCCAGTTGTCGACCCACGTGTTGCATTGAAACAATTGAAAGCCATGGATTTTGGGATCCCCCCATGACTTTAGAAACCACCAAATCTTCAGAAATACCATGACATACCATGACCCATCAAAGTGTGACTTTGGTAGATCTTATAACTCTTGATCCACAGCTGCCATGTTCACTGCAATGGTTGCCTGAATTGTTCGGCTATCGTGCAATTTCTCCGGAACCAGCTCCAGCGTTTGACAATTAAAGGGGTACCTAAAAAGAATAGAAAATATGTTCCAGATTGTTCCAGCATGTTGTAGAGGATTTCTACGTACTTCTATCTCCAATTATCCAGATGTATCCAGATGTATCCAGATGTTGAACGGTTCTGTCTGTTTGGGATTGCCTAGATGGCTATCAAGAAAACAAACATGACGTCTTCAGGTCACAAGCCATACGGGTCACAACAACGCAGCTGGGTGACTTTCTTGTGCGTGGCCTTGTTTTGCAAGAGAAGCATCTCGTCCTAACCGGCAGCCGTCAACCCTTCATGGAGATTCGAGCCACTGGGAAAATCCCACTCGTTGACAGGTAGTCCCGCAACCCCTCTATCATCATCCCTTTCCAAAAAAAAACATCAACACCCCCCAGCATCAGAAATTGCTGGGCATTTCAATTACATCTACCATAGTGGTGCATTACAGTAACATACAGTAACCATCAAAAATGTTAGGAGACCATCTCACCATCTCTCCTTGGTGAGGTGTGTGCCGAGTTCGTAATGTTCTTGTTCCCCATCCCATTCCTGCGTCGGTCAGGATTGCCAAGGGGGCCAGGGGGCCAGGGCTCGTAAGTCTGTGCTGGGAGGAACCAATTGGTGGAATAGAATATGAATGAATATGATAGAACTCAATAATCTCAAGTGATCTTTCAAAATCCAACAACAACGGAGATCTCACCAACTCTTCAACGGGTACAGAAAAAAGGGAAAACTCTCGGGCCCCTGACTCACCACTGCTTCCGCAGCGGTGTCCGACGTGTCCTGTTGCCAGTCAGAGATGCCGAAGCGAGGGTTGTCTTGAAAGGCTGAGACATAGAAGTCAGCCGCCTGGAGCAAGGGAAACTCAGCAATCATGGTCAATCTTTGGTCCACCAATAAAATATAATAAAATTCTCATCTTTTAGCTGATGTTTATTGTCCGCAGTGCGAAACCTACCAGGATTCATTTCTACCAAGTTGGTTGATGCAACTCCAACCCAGCACCACACCGGGCCATGGGGGCCCCCCCTGGGATGCTGGGCCGTGATGGCGTCCCAGACCGGCAGCCCGGTGTGGTAGCGCAAGGCGTCGGCATATGGAGGCAGCTCCGTACATTCCAACAGGATGGCGCGGATCATCCTGGGGTGGCTGGTGGGAACCGAACAACGATGTGGCGAAGTGGCATTGAACCAAAAAAACCTAGGAACTCTGGCATTTTTTTTTGATTTGTTGGATTTTTCATGAAGAATTACGAAATTCATTACTCATCCTGGAATCTGGGTCCATGTTCAATCTCATAAGAAGCACATGGACCACATGCATAGCTCATGTTACAGTATTTTTGTTGCTCATGAAAGATCTGAGCTAAAGATTGGACATGATTGATACCAACCTCATGCCTTACGCCATCCTCGCATCTTTCTGGACATTCAATTCCACACGATTTCTATACTGTAACAAACAAATAACAGGCCTTGCTCGCTTAAGATCGCCATATCACGTTTAAACGTTTTGCACCCTATGGTCATCAAGCTTTAAAAAATCCAAACCTTGACATAAAAACCATCAACCCCATGGTGAAGATCGAAACAAAACTGGAGATTCCGAAACATTCCGATGCTAAGGTGTTGATCTATCCCCATCTGGTTGAAATTGGAAAACTCACCAACCTGAATTAATATCAGTAGATGGGTATCCCATCTATAATGGATTATACTGGATTATAATGGATTATAGCTAACTTATGGTTATTAGCCACTTTCTAAGTCTTGGAATTCTTCCCCACCTTCCGGGTCGTCTCTAGATTTTGCACCAGCGCGCTATGCCAGAGTCTATGTCAAATAGAAGGCCAAATAGAATGTCAGACTGTGAGAATAGAATACCAAATAAGATATACAATTAAACATGTCAGGTAATACAATTAAATAAAATAGTATGTCAAATAACATGTCAGGTAGAATACCAGATAAGATTCGTCTGAAAACAAGGAGGTCAAAAACCAGAAAAAACCCATTGGTGCTCACAGCAAAATAGCTGCGCAATAAATGGATCATCCCCCAGTCATGCCATCTATAGCTATTGATCTGGGTAAATTATAATAATTCACTAACCTGAAATAAGGCTATCTTGGGGATGTTTCCCCGAATCCTAACCATGATGATAGTGAGGGAGAACAGTGAGGTCGTATTAGGTCGTATTAAGTCGTTATAATTTATCCAGATAGATATATATATATTATATATATTATATATATATTATATATATATATACATACTATTATATACATACTATGTACCCAATTTTCTGATGGAAGATTTCCCCATAAAACCCCCGTGGTCCCCAATCTTCTGATCGCCCTCTTTTTCAGTTCATCCCAGCTGCGGATTCTGTTGGATCAAGTCCATTGCCATCTTGATGATGCCAGGCTGCACTATGTCCTAGAGGCCCCCAGAAATCAATAAAAGTGGCTTGTTTAGCATACGTATATAACTTATATGGGCCACGGTCAATATTTGGTATATAGCTCCAAGTCATCAATTTTTGAAGAGTGTATTATCGTTTTTCAGGTTGTGGTATGAAAATAACCAAATGATAGCGTTTTGGAAAGAGTGTATTATCGTTTTCCAAGCCCCAGCTCAATTTTAAAAAAATAAAGATGTCTCGAATACTACTCTCCATTAACCTAAATAGTGGCTGTAGCTCATATAACCATATTAATGACACTAGTAATAACCATATATTGCACCCCAGCTATAGATGTTCTATAGAAAAATATATTGGTTACGTCTCAAGTGATTGGTAATCGTTTGGGAAACCAATGGTTTTGGGGTTGACAACATGTTGACAAACAGCCAGATGGATCGGGGCATACCAAAAATTAAAGTAACCTTGCCCCAGCAAACATTTTGGGGTCCTTTATAACAGGATTGAGGATTTTTGGGGAAGGGTTTCATACGGATTGGCTACAAATGGAGCACCTATTGATGAGATTCCTGCAGGTATGGCCGGAGTGTCAGCCATTGGTAGGGGAAATCGCCAACAACGCAGGGAAAATAAAGCAAATCAATGAGAAGACCATTACTGGTTGGTGGTGCAATAACCATCTTGAAAAATATGAAAGTCAATGGGAAGGATTATCCCATATATTATCGAAAATAAAAAATGTTCCAAACCACCAACCAGATTATATAATGGGTCTCATACTAGAGCCTACTACCATTTTATCAGAAAAGATTTCTGACTTGGGACTCGTAAAGCATTGGGGTCGCACGGCATGGTCAAACCTTGGGGGACTGATAGGAAAATCGAAGTATCTCGCACATAAGCGTGTACGTCACAAGTAAACCTCGGGCATCTTAGCAATGGACTCTACATTTAATTGTATATGTATGGGAGTTGTACCCATGAAAATCATGACATGAAAGATCATGAAAGGCATTGCATATCATGGGTGTGAACCGAGAAACTTGAGTGACTAACTACCAAAAAGTGGGGATGCATTGCTCCGCACATAATCAAGAAAATTGTTGGGGTCTGTGTTTTTTAAATACCAAGACATATCCCCGTCATGATTGTTGCCTATGCCCCTCCCAAATTGAATTACATTGAATATATATGTTCTTGTCTGAAGAGGGCAGTGTACCTCCAAATCCATGACTTCATCATGATCATTACCCTCTGGTAATTTAACATAGCCATGGAAAAATCCACCATGCTATTCATGGGTAAATCCACTATTTTTATGACCATTTTCAATAGCAAGCTGTTAGTTTACCAGAGGGTAAACCTCCATTTTCCTATGGTTTTCCTATGGTTTTCCATACTTTTTGTATGTTTACCAGGCCGGGTACATATCTCACCAGGGAGTCCCCATGGATGACCCCTGTGAATCACCAGGCGTCCAAGGGCACTTTCTCTCCCTTGGCCACGGCTTCGAAACCAGGAACATCCTGACGGGACGACGGGACGACGGGACGACCGTGGCAAGGGAAGCCATTTTCTGTAGCTATGCTTAAAATCCTTGAGGGTATATATATATATAGAATATCATATCCCCAACATATATTACTATTGTTATTATTATCATTGAATATTTATTATTATTACTATCATCATTATTCATGAGTATTACTACTACTATTATTATACAGATATGTGTGTATATATATATGTATTTATAGTTGGAATCAGTTTTATGGCTAGTAGTTCGTGTCATAGCCATCCGACAATTTACGCAAAACACACCTGGCAGCCATGGATGACAAAGCGGTGCTCTTCCACATCAAAGCCACCTGGATGGAGACGGGGAGCTGCCACCGACAGACGTACCGCCATTTGGTCAATGAGAGATCGACTCAGGATCCAACAGATGTAACAGATGGAGGTAGGGAACTGTACCATATAAATTTGACCATATAAATTGTGGGATCTTCCAAAAATTCATAGGCCTTATATGGCCTTATATCAATAGGCCTTAAATTTATAGATGGAATCGGTAGCTCCGTCCTCAATCGGCTCCAATCATTGCATGGCCATTGGATGTTCATCCCCCAACTGATTTCCGAAATGATCATGAAATGGTCCTGGAAAAACTGCCGGAAAAGCCACTTACCAACTGGTAGAAAAAACCATAGGTAAAATGGAGGTTTTCCTAAAATACGAATCTGGTAGAAAAAACCCAACAAAGCCACTTACCAACTGGTCCACCACATATTGGAATGGCATTTCCTGGCCCATCCCAATGACCATTGCATCGCCCAAGCTGCAACTCGTCATCAAGATCTCCTTCCTTTGGCAGGAAGGGTTGATCCCCTGCTACAAGTTGTCAAGCTGAGCTGCTGACGGTCAAAATGTGTATGTCTACACAATCCAGATTTAGTTGCCAAAAATGCTCACCGTCATGCAGCTATCACTAGGTCTTTGGAATGGCAACAGCTTCACCCTCTCAGTGCGGCGACAGCCCAAGCATCTGTGGTTTCAAAGAATGCTCGTTGGCCGTGAGGACCATAATCTGATCGTCTGGGTCAAGTGCCTGCGTTCAGACCAAGTTCTATTTTTGTTGGTAAATTGATGTTTTTATTGGGTAATATGATGGGTATCTCCCACCGGAACTGATGACAATGGGACTTGGCTGGATTGGGAATTATGCAACTCTGCCAGACCTTCAATGTCAACCCCGGATTTATATATACCCTCTGGTTATGACTAACATAGCCATGGAAAATCCCAACCATAAATGGAGGTTTTAATGGGAAAATCAACCATTTTCCATAGCTACGTTAAATTACCAGAGGGTAATTGTTGTTGATTAAACATTCAGGGTAACTACCCTAAAATGTGTGGGAAAAAAGTAAGAAAAGCTATCAAAAATTGTATCCTCCCATGTTACTCAACTGGGGGGTTCTTTTTTTCCGGGGTTTTTTCCCTCCCTCTATGCTCCAGTCAAAGCCATACATTTTTTCATGTTTTTTCCCGTTAAATTTGCAGTCACAGTTGCGGCAGCAATGATGGGACACTGAACCATAGAGGACATAAAGATGGGCTTGGCGGCAATCTTCCTGCGGCCATCGATCTTTTTGTCTGGCGGAAAAAGTCGGTCTTTGGCAATTTTGATATACATTGACTTTAATAGTACAATATCAATATATATATATATAATATACATATATATATATATAGTGCACTATTCATAAATAATTGCACTATTCATATCAATATATAGTGGGAAGAATGGGAAGAATGATGATAATCCATTGAAATTGTGCAAAAAAAAACCCATTGCGCTAGATTTAAAATTGCAATATTTGGGGTAGACAGGTTTTAACAACATCATGTGTTATTTACCGCAAGGCCAACAATGAAGGCTTGCTTTTTGCCCCTGTTGGGGAGCCTTTGGAAAGTATAAGTATCCTTGAACTTCCTTAACACATAGGGCTTCTCAATGGTTCTCAGGTGTCCATGTGACGTCCTCGCAAGCACTTGAAATGCCATCCTGGGCAGATTCGGGACCGGCAGCTGGGAAGCGTTGGGAACGTGGGAAGCTGAGAACATCTTTCATGGCCCGCTTAACGGTTGTCATATGTTATGAATAATTCCTTCAATCTTTAGGTGATTTGTTTGGGATTCTAAACATCCTGCATTGAAAAACCAGTGTCCAGCACACACAAATAGGTAGGTAGACTGGTAGACTACCAGGTAGACAAGACCAGCACCCCTCTGAAGTTTTTTTGCCCTTCGGAACCCAGATGAATGAGTTCGTGTCTAAACAAATGCAGGTCTATGGTATTGACACACTGCCATTATCTAGATACGAAAGTACCAATCTAAGAACTTGGAAAGTACCCTTTTCGACCATACCCGGTCAAAAACATGGTTTCACTGTTTGAAGAGTTTATGATCCTCTGAAACACTTGTCTGGGTCGGTGTAAGCCAGTTTATTTTGTTTTATGGAACAGGAAGATGTGGGCAAGACAAAGAGGCTTGATTTTTGACGCAAAAAAGTCGTCCTTTGCTAAGTCCATTGGTCCAGTGGTTAGGTCCTGGGTTTTCCAATGCTGCGAGGGATTCACGGTACAGTGGATCTCCACTTTGAGTATCAACGAGATCCGTTCCTAGTGATGAGCATATCTTACTTTTATCCAAACCCTGGTACCCTGGTTTTCACATTGAAATACATAACTGGTAAATGGGAGGTCATCCACCCATTCATATGGCATTATGTAGATATTGTCCATTCTCCATCCCCATTATATGGAGTATGTTAAACCGAGATTGTTTACACATGAACTATATAAAACCCATCCCCATCCCCATCTGAAAATCATAGACTTTGAGATCCAAGGAACATGAAACCACAATCACCGGTGATGGCACTGACTCCTCTGGCCTGATGTCGTAGTCTGAACAGCTCCAGGTGGCTATTTTTTTCGATGTTGATATTGCTATATATTACTTATATTGAGCCATTAGTCATTGAAAGCTATGCCATATAGATATCAATATCAGCATTGATATTAATTATATGCCATATGGGTTTTGTCTGAGAAAATTTGGTATCTCCGATCTCTAAATCCGTTGGTTTCCCATGTTGGTTTCCCACTTGTTATCAAATTGTGTGGGGTCAGTGCCCCATTTTCAGACACACCCAAATATAAGGTTGGTAGTGAAATTTATGAGCAAATGACCATTAAATCACAATTTTTAATAAATCCCATGTATTTTCAGACAGACCCATATTTCAAAGACTCAAGTACTACTTGTAGGTAGTGATCATAGTCTAATATATATGTTATTACTATAGTACTGCAATATATTTCAAAGACTAAGGCTAGTATATACCCCCTGGCAATTCTGGCAGTTTAACATGGCTTTGGAAAATGGATTAAAATTGCTCATTCATAGATGATCTACCTATCAAGAATTGTGATGTTCATTGATTTTCAATAGCATTCAATGGCGATGTTAAGTTACCAGAGGGTAAACCAGCAAGTTACTTCATGGTGATTTGCCAGGGATTTCATAAGTCAATGGTGATTGAATGGTAACCAGTTTATTTCATCTGATCGTCAAAGATGGCAATGGACAATTCTCCAATAATTTATCGAGGATTTTCCCATGAAAATACCATTTATGAAAAAAATATGGATATCATGTTACCATATGGGTTTGTCTGAAAATAGGGTATATTCCCAATTATAGCCATTTAATAGGGATAATGATCATGAACCATTGGGTTTAGGGGTACACTATTTTCAGACACACCCATTTAACCAAGGCTACTACGTTTATACTTCACGTTTCAAACCTCCTCCTGCGATACCGATCACACCTCCAGGTGCTTAATGGCATCGGCGAAGCGTCGCTCGACCTCCTCGGTGAACTGGCCCGTTTGACCTCGGGAATCATCCAGCAGTTACGGGACATCCAACGATTCATTCGAGGTGATCATTGGTTATCTATGGTTACTATGGTTATCTAAGTTATCTATGATCATTATCATTGGTTATTAAAATGGATCTAAATGGATCTAAATGGATCTAAATGGATCGAAATCTGGTTGGCGGTTGAGCCAACCCCTCTGAAAAATATGAGTTCGTCAGTTGGGATGATGACATTCCCAACTGAATGGAAAAATAAAATTCATGTTCCAAACCACCAATCAGTTATCTATGGTTATTTACCTAGAACTTCCATTGATACACTAATTTCTGCTCGAGGGATGAAACGCTCGTTTTAGGAATTTCTGTATCGAATCAGGGTGTCAGACGTACGAGGTTAAAAAAAGTGCTCGTTGCCCCATCCATGAACCTCATCACAGCCCTGACCAGTGCGCGCACACACACTATCTGATCTTTTTCTTCTTCAGACCTCTTGCTGTCCGGATTCCCAGCTTTTCAAAGCTGCATCCCACTGATCTCGGTATTGGATCAGCAGTTTAGTCATGGTGCTAGCTACCAAATTGAGTGGATGATTGTGACGACGCGAAGCACGAGCCACCCTTCCTACAAAATCCTCATCACTCCAGCAAGCCTGGCCTAAGCCACCCGAGATATCCCGAGATCACCAGACATAAGGGCAACTTGTACCATGCCTAGCCATGCACTTACTGATGTAAAATGTAAAAGCTTTGGTAATTTTTGAGCTCAAGGCAGGCGGGGTTGAGGACATACTGGCAGCCCGCATCAATTTGATATTGCATTAGGAGCCTCACACTTTTTGACATCATGGACGCGTTTGAATATGCGCACACAATAGTTCACATTGACATTGATTGTGTTGAGCATGTGCTATATGCTTCGAAGAAACATCACATGTTGGATCATGTGCACCTTCGGGCGCATGTAGTAAAGTTTCCAATTTTGTTCCTTACAAAGTCGTGCTAGGGCACCGTAAGCTTCCTCAGCTCACCAAGTTTTGGAGACATATGACCAATATCTGGAATGCTCAAGAGCACTCGCATACAGACTTACTGCATGTAAGTAGCTGTCATGTTCCAACCGTTTTGAATTGCAATTTCTGCCTGCCGTTTGGGCAGCCAAAGTGGACCTTTGTAAACAATTCTGAAAAATGTGTTGGCGCAAGCATTGCCCCACTTTGCGACTGTGAAGATATCTCGGCAGTTTTCCTTAGTTTTTTTTTGGGGGGGGCACAGACACGTATTTGATGATAATGGTTGAATGACATGCCCCAACTGCACAAAAGGATTTGTACTGCCCTGCTAGAAAGTATCCGGTACCATAGATTCATCCATCGGACTCATCACTGAATGCAGCCACGCACTGACAAGGGCAGCATCTGATCCCTTCCCAAGCCCACGCGGAAAACTTTGAAGCCTAGGATGTTTGAGCACACCGCCAAGATAAAATGGAAGATCAGGAAAACCTAACCTATATGATCTTAATCTTACGATCATTAGAAAAATATGAAAAACTCACACTCATAAGTTTCATATAAACTGATGATGTCAAGTAACGATGCTATCTTCAATTCCTTCTTGCTGAAGTCCAAGATAGTAGTGGTTTTGTTGTTTCGTGCACACCAGTCAGCAAAGGCTTCGTAAGCCCGGGCAAGTTGAATCTCGAAGTTGTAATTGCCCCACACATTGCAATGCACTGCCAAGAGGATTAGTGTGGAAGCCAGTTCATCTTTCCCATACCCCGCAATCGCATAAGTATGAGCCAAATCTATGCACACCTTTTCGGGGTTGTCACCATCAATCAAATTTCTTATGGGGGCAACCCTTCCAGGTTTCCATGGCACAGATACATTTCCATTTCTGGGCCAAGTTCTCACAGATCCTGCTTGGGATAGGTCATGCCAGTCCTGAGCAGCCGTGTGAGTGAGAGGACATTTAGGCCTAGAGGTTTAGGCTATGATGACACACACACACATGTTGTGGATAACTGGCAATTAGCATCAAATAAAAGTTATAGGTATCATATCCAAGATTCTGTTGCGGGACATAAATGGCAAATTCTTGAGGATGTATATCCAGTTTTTAAATTGAACACTGCACGTAACCATGGCCAATCACCCTTGACCCCGCAGATCTTCGCAAAGAACTTCAGCTGTCGTCCTTCTGATTCAACCTAGGCCACCGGTAAAGAGCTGATCAAGTTGAAAGACTTCGTGTTTCAAACAGTACTTGCCTCAGCTGCTGAGCAAATCGCTTAAGTTAACTGGATGCTTTATATAAATTCAGATAGGGGGCATCAAATCCATGTGTCAGGAGATGATTGCAGTCTGTAACAAGAGATCTCATCAAAGAATGCAGAGATGCTGAATTTTTCGCATAGCACTCCGATGGCAATATGGTGAACAACATTCGCGTAGTCATTGTGTTCCTTGGATTGTGGAAAGTGGACCATCAATAGATTCCAGCGAGAACCTGAAATTTCTATTACAACAAAGATCAACAAAACATACTTAGTGCAAAGGCTTGTTTCTTGATGCTGTTTGTGTGGTCTGTTCCTGCCCATCCAATGATGCACTGGAATGCCACGATGAGGAGTGGTCTTTTGACCAACCCCCGCCCTTCATCGCCATGAATATAGAAGGGTATGGTTCTTTCTGGTACTTCTGGTGTGTTTGAATCGATGTAGCGGTAGCGATCCCAAAATGTGGACAGCATCCCCTCTATCTCTTCTAGCTGGCCCACCCTCTTCCCTCCAAGCATGAAAATGCCCTGGAACTCTGGTGTGTTGAAACATGCCTTGATCCAGTCTGACAACTGGAAGACCGGCCAAGGTTTCCGAGCTATGCAAAACCGCCGGGAGACCCTGGTTCTGATGGGGATGGTGACATTTGTCACAGCTACAGGCAAGGTCTTGTTGTTCATGTGGATATATTTATGCAGCCCCCTAGACACATTGGTTTTCTTCTTGTCCTTCCGGGCAATGCTAGCCATGGCAGAGATCTTTCGATCATACACTCCTTAGCTATATCGATTTGATGGGCATATCCGGCCACTGAAATAGATACTGAACCGCACATATACATTTCAGTCTTAAATAAATAGATACTGAACCCCAAATATACATTTCGATCTTAAATATGTCATCGATTATTCCTACTGCCAACTTTGCATTTTATAAGTTAACATGAAACATGATCTAGATTCTAGACAAGAATCCATGCTTTTCCAAGAGCTTTTGGGTGTTCTCGATCCGCTGTGTAACATCCTTTGCGCTATCCTCGGGGTATGGGAAGGTCCAAGTGAACCCACCAGAGAATGGTTGAAACAACACAGAAATCCCCTGTGCATATTGTTTATAACTGAGACAAGACACACCTTTGGCAAAGGCAGAGACCATCTCGTCGCAGAGTTCTTCGGCAGGAGAATCCGATTCTTCATCGCAACATCCTGAGGCGGTGATGGTGGCAGGTTTGGTTTGTATATTGATTATACATTTTTTGAGATATATAACTTGTTGGGATCAGGTTTGCAAAATCTACAGGCCAGCTTGTTTAATCTAGCAGGGTTTTTTATCATCTAAACTCTACACCATGGTTACCTGCAAAATTGCAATCGAGATTCCACGTTGGAAGATGTTCTCGCGATGGCCTGGCAAAACTTCATGTAGCAAATGGGGTCCCCTGCATGTAGTATACCATCCTGGACTAAATAATTTTGGGCCATCTCCTTTTAGGTCATTGTTGAGGGGTGATATTTACTCCAGGATGGTTAAGTGCAAACTTTCATAACTTCTGAAGTTTTCAGAAGTTGGCATTTTTTCAACTTGGGCCAGGGATCTGCATGGAATTGCAACATCAAATTTGGCAAGATGGAGTCGCTGCAATCTTATGCAACAACATGCCGTGCCATGTGTACCACTGGCTGAACACAACGCATCTGCAAATCAATTCTATAGAATGGACATTGGGCCATGTGTGATTTTAACACTTCCAAATTTGGCATTGTGTTTAAGTAGCCAGTACATATATACCCCAGGGCGCATGTCACGCACCTCAAAGATCTAAAATCCTAAAGCCTTAGGCCTTTGGTTCAGACTTAGACTTGGAGCCAGGCTTCTTGGCCTTTGACTTTTTGGCAGCCTTCGGCTTAGCAGCTTGCTTGGGAGACGGGGCTGTGGAACCAGCCGAAGAAGGCTTCATGCTCCTCAAGTTGGGAGGTGATTCAATGTAAAGACTGGTTTCTGGTTTCATTCCAAAACCTGGGATGTGTGGACAAGTTTCACTCAACATTGGGGACGCAATTGTTGACATGTTCGATCTTACAAAAAAGTTCCAAGATTCTTTCCACGTACCAGCAAAGAGTTCATAGCCACATCGAACTTGGTTGCTTGGACAAAGTTGCTCTGGATCTCATCGCGCGTAGACCTCACAAAGCAATTATGAGACCCACCATTTTGGTATGATTGTTTTCCTACATAATAGTTTCCCCCACATATATCTAGATAGAAAAACAATACGTATCTATTTGGATATTGTAAAAGTACCATATAATAAATTTATAAGAGACCCCCTCAATTGCAATCAAGGGGCTTGGACAAGGATTCCGGGTGAACTGTAGCCTCTGACAACTGGGTCGTCAAGTTATCATAGAGGGTCTGCATCTTGGTCAGAAGTTGCTCCATTTGTATCACCAGCCTAAGGGGGCCAGGTACAGAATAGGGGTTTAAAGTTGGTTTACCAATAAGCGAATTCAGAAAACTGTGCCAGGCATTCTGCTGAGACATGGATAAATTATAAATCAAGAACCGATTTCGAAGAGTTGGTGCCAACAGACTTTAGGCGCTCCTGGGGATCAATCTGGTTCAAACTGTTGCATGCTATTTTGGGCAAAAATTGTTTTCTTTGAAATCATTTCACATTGGCACTGCATGAGAACCGGTCCAGTTCCATGCCAATCTTGTCAAGCTTTCGCCCCAAGATTTCAACAAACCCCGGCAACACTGTGAGCGGGCTTGCATTGGCGACGACCGTAGGAAAGCACAACCTCAGGTGAGTTGCGAATTATGATCATGAGATATATGTATATTGAGGCCACAGTAAAACACTAAACCTCAATGGGTCCCAGTTGTTTTTCCGCTCGTATATATATAAAATATAAACATGCATATGCATAAGCACAACCCAAGTAACTTAAAGGTCATCACTCCAGCCGCACTACCCATCCCATTGCTGCTGGCGCCGCTGGAGCTAGCAGCCCCTGAGGTGTTGCCAACACTGGTCAAAAGGGCCTCGTCATCATTCATGTCAGGCAGGGTGGTGTCCATGAGGGACCCTGCAGTGTCCTGCAAGTGAAAGAGGTCGGTTTAACAGAGCTACTTTTGGGGGACATGAACCAGTGGTACAGCTTTGGACAAAAGCTGAAAGCAAAAACCCCATCCTCAACTTCAACACATCCTTCTTGGATGCTTTCTTCAGTGTCTTCGGAACTCACCGCAAAGCTATCAGACAAGATCAAGAAAGCTTCAGGTTCTCCATGGATCGGATTAACCCGGGTCTTTGACTTCGACTCAGCCCAAGCAAATGCCCGCTCAACCATTTTCCTCAGCTCCCACATGTAAGTTGGTTTAATTAAGATATTATGCATGTGGCCATGGTGAAATGTTATGCTAAGGCCAAATCTTGTTCCATTGGTGAAGTCCTTCTAGTTGACCCTTGGTGTACCAACCTCCGCTCTTGACCCTGCTTGACTTCTCCACATGCTTCTTCTTGATGCGGATCTCCAACTTCTCGAAGCTCCCATTCTCCAGAAACATCTTCTGAAGTTCTTTGCCTTATTTAATCTCGATGAAGAAGAATGAACCATGTATGAACATCTAAGATGGGAATTATCACAAGGAACTACATAGGATCCATTATTGTTAACACTATATAGTGGGTATATCTAACTAATGTGTTGGGTCTTATAAATCATATATAGGTCAGCTCTTGTCAAATCGAAGAATTTTCTGTGATCCCCAAACCAGTTAATCTTTAGGGAACGCTATGGCATGTAGCATGCAACCAAAGGGCGGCCAGCTGGGTCTTTCCACAGTTTCAAGGCTTCAGGTGAACATTTCAAAGTTCCATCAGCTTTGGGCTTGAAGTAGCGGCGTAGCCTAAGCTGGATGCCCCCACATGTTACCAGGTCATTATCGATCTATGATGGTAGGTGATTTGGTCAAATAAAGGGTTTACCCATGTTTCCCCATGATACCTCCAATCCTTTTGGCTTTGAGATGATACAAACATATTATCCCCTTTTCTTGGATTTATGGATCTTTGTACGTTAATTGCCTAGAAACTTCCAGTATGGGTTGCTCGGTGGTGGCATCTCCCCACATGCAGAAACCGAATCCCCGATGCCCGGCTCATCATCAACCTCTGTGGCAGGGCTTGGAGCTGGTGCACAAGCCTCCGGTGTGACAAGGCCTGGCTCAACGGTCATGGGTGCGGCCTTAGGAGGTGTGGCCACAGGCTCAGGTGGTGTGGCCACAGGCTCAGGCGGTGTGGCCACAGGTGTGGCCGTAGGTTCAGGCTCAGGCAACGTGGGCTCCACTGTCATCAGTGGTGGGAAAGGTTCAGGCTGAGGCGGTGTCTCCATGAGTGGGTTTTCCCTATCATGGTATCTTCCATAGGGAGGTGAGCACTTGTCTGCCACCCCTTCACAAGGGTTCCCTGCACTATAAGACCCTGAAGACTGAGCAGTAAACGGGGCACCTGGAACTTCTGGTTCTGGTGCGCTCACATTAGCCAAGTTGGACAACCTTCGACGCAGTGCTTCGATCCGTTGTTGGCTGGCCTTGGCTGGCAGGGCTTAAATTAATTTAATTATGCATGGATAAAAATCGTTGCACTCCCCCAGGTCTATCAATACGTTCAAACCCCAAAGTTGGACATGGAATGAATTTTGAGCCTTATACTGTATAATTGGATTTGTTTTTTCATGACAGCTAATTGGGATGGGTACCCGCATCAATCAAGTCACCTGCATCTTTTCTTGAAGTTCACGCTTGCGTGATGACGTGGGTTCACCATACTTCACAGCAACTTGACCAATGCCGTACATCAAGGTCTCACTAGACGTTGGCCGGGATTCCATGTGGGCCGTTTACCAGCTTACCAAACCACTTGGGCCACCCAAAAAGACTACGTAAAGCATATTCAGCAATGATCATTCCACATCACACCACACCGGTTGTTGCGCAACATGTAGGACACGCATCAAGTCTGCCAAACAGGCACAAATTCAAAAATGTGCTCGAGGTCCCCTTGATGTATATTAGTGAAAAGAGCACTTTTTGAATTTGCGCTCGTTTGCGCTTATTTGCGCTCGTTTGCGCTTTTTTGCGCTCGAGATTGCGGGTAGTTTTTTCCCACAAACAGCGTTAATTTCCAACAGTTGGGGCCCAAATCAGAAATCTGCACGTTTTATTTTGACATAGTTGGTGCAAAGCCCCACAACCCACTGTTGGCAAATGCTACGTGTACTTGCAACTATAGCTAGTACTGAAAACGCACATGGGGCCCTTAGTCATGGATTTCATCCTTGCAAAGCCCTTGTGGGGGTTCAAGTCCTTCAGAAAGGGCATCAGATACCCCAGAAGTAAGGATGTTGTCAATCTCCTCGCAGATCTCCGCACGGCAGAATGCCTGGGGCGTGGGTTTTGAATTCTGTGGGAAGGTCAGCCCCTTGTACGTACTGAGTAGTGCTATGGTCTCATTGCCATGTGATAATATATATCAGCAACAGTGATGCCTTCTCCTTGTATTCTTTCCAGAATGTAGCGATGGCAGGTCGCCATTCCAGAGGGATCCTGCACAAAACACCAAATCTATATTGGGCCTTAAGGTATAATTGTTCTGAATACTTAGTGCAAACATACAGAAACATCCTGCCTCACACGGCGTGATTTGAGAAGGTATGCAATGGGTTCCCACAGCTTTGCATCTTCCCAAAGGTCGCCCATAGGTAGGGATTCAAACTGTTCCACCAAATTTAGGGACATGTTCGGCTGGGGCTTGAAACGTAACTCCCGCCGGCCACTGCCACGGCAGGCAGACATATGAGCTTCCCAGGCTCGTCTGAGATTTTCTCCAAATCCTGCTGGATAGCACCTGGGCACGCATTATGGGATGGCCAGATATGATCCGGTATATATTTTGGGATTGGTGGATGGATGGTATAAATTAAAGGGTTTCTTGGGTCTACTCGTTCTAACTAATAGTACCAAAGGGACTGACTTGCACGGAGATCTTTGGTGCCGTGAAATCTCTGGCGACCCTTTTTGTCGATGTATTTTCCTGGGCTGTTAAATGCACAACTCAACGGGGATGATTATAGTTGAGGATCACTGTGTGGAAACAATATTTTTTCATAATATTTGTTCAAAGGGTCGAACCAAACGGGTTTCAGAACGACGTTCTTTCTCCTCCCTGGTCAACACGCCCAAATCCAATGAAAGTATTTCCCGCATGCAGCTGTAGACAACTGTTGCTTTTGGACTTGGGCCACCATGAAGTTGCATCCAGAATCGCACAGAACATACCTTGGTCCCCCAATGTTGGCCAGGGATACAGAACATGTTGGTAAACTAACTATTGCAACTTCGATCATGAACCTTAACCAAGAAACATAGGCAACATGGTTGGCCATCCATTCAAAACGATGATGCTTGGCAAGGAGGCTGTTGCCCGGTTGCTCTAGTACCCATATTGCATTTCTACTCATCACAACAAGTGCTAGGAGCACTGTCCTTAATTGGCAGCAGTGATTGCACATGGATAACATTTGAAAAAACAAATGCCGTGAAATCACAATGCCATTCAGGCCAGTATCCGCGAAACCATGCACCCAGAGTCTATGACCCATTTCAGAAAGATATTCCCAAACACGTTGATGAATGATCTTAACGACGTTCCCCTGGCTGGCACGCCCCAGCTTGAACAATCTGGAGCCAGTAGCGCCAAGCCATTCACAGGTAGCTGGAGCATGAGGAGTAGTGCCAACCTTAGCCGATCAAGAGAGGTGGTTGGGATAATTGGTTTTGGCACTGGCCATGAACCCCTGCAAGTTGCATGTCAGTCTAGCACATTTGATCTATAATGCATGTTCAGCTTAGTGTCACATATCCAGGAGCCGACAAAAAGTCCATGGTTTTGGCATCGTAAGAGATATCGTACTTTGCACATGAATATCCGCTTTCTGACCTCAGCCCCAGATTATGATGGAACACCTCGATCTGGTTTTTAGTATGCACAGCTTTTCATCAGTCAGCTTAATCCTATCCCCCATCATACCCCTTTTTAAATCCCCAGTATTGGATCTATGGATTACGTACGTGGGGCCAGGATATATAAATCAGGTTCCTGGGTGTTGGGCATAACCCGTGTGCATTCTGCTTTCCCTGCAAAGATCTCCACGAACTCGCAGGGTGGGAGCGGTGGAGACTCCACCAACCATCCTGCCAGAAGTACCTTAGAAAATGGTAGCTGAGGATAACAAGATTTGGTGAGGGAACAGGACAATACCCGATAAGGTTTGCACCAAAGCTATCATCACCTGACCAGGGTTGACCATTGTAGATGGAAGGGTTGGCCACATTTTTAATAGCGGTCACTAACGTACTAACTTGGACATACAGGCCTTCGGGGCTTGGACATGTTGCATAGCACTCACAGGGCAGTAGGGCATTTCTATTGGATCTATTCTGGAAAGCGATTTCCGCCCCTTTGGACCCCCAAATAGCTGAGGATTTGAAACGTATATCATGCAATCACCCCCAACACCACACAACAGCGGCCAAAACCGTGCATTGGAACCAAGGCAGCTGGACCCGAGATCATTGCTTGCCTTGCCCAATGCGCCATTCCTGTCCAGAGCTGAGCGGGAACACCGTTGGATAAGTAATGAAAGCTGCATTGCATCTTAGACCAGGCATTGCACTCACGATTTATTGCTGCGATGTGAGTCCAGCTAGCTAGCCATGATCGACAAACCTGACAGTTGTCAACAAATCCATGATGCCAGCATCGCATTTCAGCAGATACGGCCAACCCCTAGATGAAAGCTCATCTAAACCTAAACCCCAAAAGCCATGTTCTCACGGCTAAAAACACACTCAGATCCAGCCGAAGCGTTCGCACAGATCACTTCGTGTTTTGGTATGCCTTAGTCAAGCCGCATTAGGAGGGGTAACGGTATTGACCGGTATGCATGCATGTTCGTATACATTGGTCCTTGGGTGTCCCTCGAACATATTAATATTGTACTGCATATATAACGTAACTATAGTGTCAAGGTACCAGTCTGGCCAGCTCAATTGCTTCTTCCTTTGTTTTGCCCTGGTTCATGGCTGCTCGCTTAGCGACATGGTAGGCCGACGACTTTCGGCTCTGCTGCGCTTTTTTCTCTGATTGGTCTACCTTCTCTGCCTTCTGACCAGCCTTTCCCTTCCCCTTTCCCTTCTTCGGTTTCATCTCTTTGGACTTTGACTTCGGGGACTTCGGGACAGACTTTGACTCCTTCTTCGTTTCCTTGGGTTTCTTTTCCACTTCGGTCTTGGTTCTCTTCCTGGACTTGGTCTCAGCGGGGGAAGCTGCAGAGGCTGCAGAGGGCTCTGCAGTGGCAGCGACTGCTTTGTCACCACGTGTCTTGCGAGTCTTCTTCTTTGTCTTTGGAACCTCAGCGTCCACTTGAGCCTCACCTCCATCTCCCTGGTACTTTTGAGATTCTTGTTCAGAATCAAGACCATCATCACCATCATCATCTTCAGCCTCCTTACCTCGACCTCGGCCTTTCCCCTTTCCACGTCCTCTCCCACGCCCACGTCCTCTCCCACGTCCTGTTCCGGGACCTTTCTGTTCTGCTGGTGTGATGGGCTTGAGGGACTGCAAAAGGTGATCTGGCCGAAGAGCAGCTTCATCTCGAGGGGATGCCTGGGCAATGTCAGCTTGGGAAGCGGCTGTGGTGTCATCTTTGGGTTCCTCCACAGCTGGTTTTTCTGTGGTGGCATTCTCCATGCTAACCTTGTCATCATCCGGGGCCCAATGCTTAGCACCTTCACACCCCAGTTCCCAAGCTTCATCTAGGGTCATGGTCTTAGCTCGCAAAAACTCAGGGTCGGGATCATAAAGTTCGTAAACATCCTTTGCCGTGATCACCTCTCCATTTCCTTCTTCAACCTTCTTTGCCTCTAGCTTTTGCTCTTCAAAGGCCGTGGTAGCTTCCAAGGTGTTCATGGGCATGGTATCCAGAACATCACCTAAGTTAAAAAATAATCGGTCCATGATTTCATGGGACGGGTCCAACATTCGACGTATATGAACATGTTGCCATGTGCCGATCCAAACCAAACTGAGAATAGAACATGATCCGGGCTTTGGAGGTTCAGGTTTCTCAACATCTTTCGGAGTAGTGGTGGTGGCATTCTTGCTCAAATCTTCCAGTTTGCGACGTTTGGCCATGAGAATGTCTGCATCACACCTCCAAGATGCATGTTGAAGGGCCAAGTCCAAAGAGCCATTGGAATCATTTGCCCTCTTGACTCCCCAAATGGCCTGCTCCTTGGTGAACCCCATGTTCACAAGGCACTGCATGTTGTAGAGGTTCGCCTCAGAACAAAGTGCAGACAGTTCCTCCTGAGCCGGTAGGTCTTTGCGAGGTGAGTCCGCCTCCATGTCTTTCAGGGGGTCATTCATGGAGTGGATTGACAAAGCAAGTGCTCTCTGCATATCCTTTGACTCCTTGTCCTTTGACTCCTTGTCCTTTGACTCCTTGTCCTTTGTGTCTCCATCTACCTCCTTTCTGTCCTGTGTGTCTCCATCTACCACCTTTTTGTCCTGTGTGTCTCCATCTACCTCCTTTTTTCGGGCGGGCAAAACTTCCAAAGACATCGCCATAGCTTTTTCAAGGTCTGGGTCATGAGGTTCTTCGGGTGGGTTCCCATCATTCCCAGGTTCCAAGGACATTGACAAAGACATGGCCATGGCTTCCTCTACCATTTGGGAAAGGGCTAGTTCTTCCTCTAACAAGGCATTCAAAAGACACTCTTCCTCCTCCAAACTCTCATTCGCCGTTTCCCCCATTTTGAAAGGAAGCTTGGCACAGTGCTTCTCAGCGCACTTGGGGTCGCATGGCTGGTCCTTGATGTTCTGACCTTTTTGGTGGCATTTGAGACACTCATACCATTCAGCTGGGTGCTTCACGAGGTAGTGCTCATGAGGGGGTACCGGGTAGCCATCCTCTTCAGCTTCTCTTGGTCCTAGGCTGTAGGCTATATGATGCTATGTGCGATAGATGGTATGTAGTGCTGGCCAGATCTATGTATATAGGGTTCATGTCCAACAATCCAATCATGCTGCCAAGACACCTGCATGCTCAGGTCGATCCCAGAATGGAACTGGATTTGTCGCTGGGCGAAACTTCCCGGGTCCTGCTTGGCTGGGTCGATATTAATTAATATGGTACGTGACATTTAATCCCCCCAAAACCTTTGAATTCTTGTCCAAGTATTGAGATGGATCCATGCTTTTTGATGGGGGAGGATTATATAAATTAAGAATCAGACCCGTATCCCCTCCTTCCATGGGAGCTGCAGTGGCCAGAGTCGAAGTGCTCGAAGTCGGCGCTGCATCATCCTGTGAAGAGATGGAATGGGGTGTTTTTTTGTTTTATGGGATAACTGCAAAGATTGGGATTTTAAATTGGATAACCTACCTTCCAAAAAGTCTGTCGACAATGATTGTATTGCATGTACCATGGTGGTGAGGTCCTTTGGTTCGGTATCAGCATCAGCACGGGGGACATTGTTCACAGAGTCACTGATCTTCGAAGATTCCATGGGATCCTGTTTGCTTTCCACGGTGGGGCTAGACTCTGGATCATCAGGTGGGATCTCATCATTCAACCATTCACAAGTGGGGTCATCGACCTTCTCATCCTCACTTTCTCCACCCTCCTCTCCATATCCCCAAGCATCGGCAACATCATCATCATTTTCGCCCTGGTTCTCTACCATGGAATCATCTTCAGCTTTTGAAGAACCTGGGCACGGCAGTGGGATGAACAATACCCCTGGGATGTGATTGGGTTCAAGATGGTTTCACTCAACATGGGTTACATATTGTATGGGTTCTATAATGTTATTTGTGCCCTATGGTTTGCACGGTGGATCTAAATGTGGGTTTTAGTATCCCTTTATCGAGCCAAAAAACTTCGACTGCGACCAGGGGAAACATCTGGGACTGGAATTTCAGCAGCTTTCATGAGGCGAATGAAGTTTTCTTCCCTTGGCCTGTGGCCCCTCTTGACCACTCGGCTGAAGCAGTAAACAAGGCCCCGAAGAATCCAAGCTTCACAGGAGATAACAGCTCCTTAGTTAGTCTGAAATCATTAAATCATGTAATTGGGAACCATATATGCAACTGACAATTTTACCTACATCTTCAAACGAGCAAACATTTCTGTAATTTCATAGGGTTGTTTGGGCTAAACGAGCGCTAATTTCTCGATGGCAAGACTGGAACCCCAAAAGGCCCTGACTTGATGGCAGCGGTTTCCCACGAGGTCTGCATGACACCAGAAAGTCCTGGCACGCCTCAAAGACAATGCCAACAGATGGGCGCAGTCCTTGGCAACCAGGGAGAGGAAACTCATGGTACAGTATGGTGTTCCAAGAAAAAATAATGGTTCAAAAAAATGGCACCAGCATATGTTATAGAATTAATGCAGACGATTTTCCAAATTTGACCACAATGGGTTCCAACAAGTCTGCATTGATATCCACATCTTTGCGGGTCAGCTGTTTTGGGTCACCCACATTCGCCATCTTTCCGCTGGTTGCATTGCGACACAGGTCAGCATGTCGTTTCCATGTTGACACCACCTCTTGAACCAATTTGTACTGTTCCTCACCGACTTCCCCAGCATCCGCCATTGGATCTAGATCAAGCGCTAGCTGCAGCACTGAAACCCAAATGGCTTTGTTATGAATTTATGAGATTTGATGGGTATAAATTTGAGATCAATTTCAACAACCCTTTTTGCAGATGATGCTGTATCCACCGGTTTCTCTCAAGCCTTGGCCTATATTGCATCTCCCAATGCCGAGGTTGGAGATCAAGAAGCACCTGCAGAGCGCACAACACAAGGGGCCCCAGGGGATTGAGGTGATGTACTGAAGGAGTTTCATGGCCAATCAATAATCCTGGGAGTGATCAATCTAGTGTGGCTAATTTTAAGTCAGGGCACCAAATCACGATCAAAATGAACGGTACGCCATAAGGGGATGCCATTTGAGCCATCAAAATGGCTCCGGGTAGCAGCGTCTGAAAAAACGCTCGAGGAAGTAGAAAGCGCTACGAATTCAAATTAACGCTCGTTTAGCCCAAACAACCCTATGTACAGAAATGTTTGCTCGTTTGAAGATGTAGGTATTATCATCTATTCAGGAATGATAGATTGAATATTATCTTTTGGACATTCTTTCAGATGAAGGAAATACGGAGGTTTAGAGTTTAGAGTTTAGAGCTGGGAAAATCGTTGGCCCAAATGAGGATTTTCCCGCAAGTCATGTGATTGACTTCCGGAGGCAAATGTTCATATACCATGAATTGACTTAGATGGATAACTCACTAGAATGGATGAATGATTTATTTATGTCGAGATATCGATGTGAAGTGGTTTGTATTAAATTATCACAATGTCTGGACTGCCGCGATTATATAATCACCAAAAAAAACATGATGAGTCATTGGGATTTGTGTGATCTTTGTTGCATTGCATGTATACGATTGTATACGTATATTTATACAAATGGAGAGAGAGGGAGAGAGTTTATTTATGTATATTACAGATAAATTATCATGTTCAGGGACGTTACCAACAAACCAATGCCAACGTCAGTGGTAAGAAATCGTGGTTGATATATGTTGATATCATGGACAACAGAAAATAAAGAAATGAAAAAAGATACCCCCTGGTAAATTAACAGTTTGCTATTGAAAATGGCCATAGAAATAGTGGATTTTCCCATTAAAACCAGTGATTTTCCATGGCTATGTTAGTTTACCAGTGCCATCGTGGCGCCGTGAAGTGCGGGGATCAAATTCATCCGATATCCCAATTCCCAAGTGTATCTCCTTACCCATAGGATCCATGGTGCTGGTCTATATGCTAACATAAAGGGGGTATATTGATGGTAAATGTTACCATATATAGCATACATGGATCCTATGGGCTTATAAAATCTTAGAAATCCCTGTTCTGTTCGAAAACACCTCCATTGATCATCATAAAAATCATTAAAATTCCAGATCTCCACCCTGACTCCCCAACAATGCCCGCGGGTGCACCAGCAGCGGGTCACGGCCAAGACACACATCTCGAAGCTCAAGCCAGGAACACATCGGAAGTAGACGTCATACCCGAAGCTTGCTGAACAGCCGGACAGAGCTTTATTTTTGAACACGAAACACTAGTTGCATCTACAAAGATATGGAGATCTACACTTACCAAGAGATGAACAGGAGAAGAACGGTGTGCCATACTTGGACTGTATCATACTGTATCACATATTTTTCTATCACATTCTAATAAGACTAGTAATTCAACTAGTAATTCATAGTAATTCAATGTATTTCATAGTATTTCATAGTAATTCATAGTAATTCAATAGTAATTTATAGTATTTCATAGTAATTCAATGTATTTCATAGCTCAATCATCAAATCATCTGCTGACTTTCTCCGGACGGCACCTGGATGATCGGAGTCCCCTGGTGCAGGAGGATAGTCGTAGTCCAATCGCACGACACCAAGGGCTGGGTGCTTCACCATCCTTGGGAGATCCCGGGAAAATTTACGGTTGAAACCCACATCTTTCACGGGAAAATCATGGACAATCCCATGGTTTCCGGTGTTTCCGGTTTCGATGTTCGATTTTCCCTTGAACCAATCCAGTGATTGCGGGGGAACTGACTCTTGTTTGGATGAAAAACAGATGGAGAAACCATGATAGAACTGATATGAAGGGCAGATGTTGGATGTAAATCTCAGTCTTCTACCGGCATGGCATGAGCACCACTGGCTCACTGGGCGGTAGCAACGACATCCCGTTTACGGGGCCACAGATTTCACGTGATTTCACGTCGCACATGGTTTGCAAATCTGTGGGCCCTGGGGTTGTCACCTGAATTCCTGGAAACTGATTAGAAGATCATAACTCATGGCTAGCCATTTATATACATCATTTACTTAGTGTCATGATTATCGAAGCATCGGAAGTGTGCCCTAAGAACGACAGGATAATCATGTTGCAACTATGGGTTTGCATGACCCTCAGCTCATTTGGGTTCGTCTGAAAATAGAGATAAATAGAGTAACTCCAAAATCCACTGGTATCCCATCATACTTCCCCGTCAATATTGATTTTAATTAGCAATGTTTCATGGGGTAAATCTTGCATTTAACTGGACGAAACAGTAGGATATTGTTGCATTTAGATGCATTTAGCCCATCACTATCCCCCAAAAAATGCGAGAACATTTGGAGAATATATCATATGTATATATATATATATCATATATCCCTATTGTATCCAACCTCACCTCCATATCTCCACCCTCTTCATCCAGGCGGCTTCTTGGCTGCGGCTGCGGCGCCTGCAGCACCTCCCCCAGCGTTGAAGGAGGCGTTTTTGAAGGCTTGCAAAAGCTCCTGCCGGCTGAACGAACCCTGGCCCATGGCACCTAAAAAATTACAGTGTGTGGTGAATTTCTCGTGGATTTCCAGGGACTTGGATTGATTGTGGAAAAATCTATGGTGGAATTGTGCTGGATTTCCGTGAGTCTGTGGACCCAACAGAATAACTCCGTCCCCATTTTGGAGCAGGAAATGAAGAAATCATCAAAGCCAATGGCAAATCTATAGGAAGCTGGGTGCCAGTGAGCAATAGTGAGCACTACTGGACCCAGTGGTTTCTTCGTTGTTTTTGCTTCTTGAACGGATCCTGGGCGACACAGTTTTGCTGCGATGAAGTGGGGACGGGTCGCAAACTATGCGCCTCAAAATTTCGGAGAAAAACCCGTTTTTATTCACCAGCCAAGCTGAATTTTGGTTCATCATTTTTTGAGATGGTTACAGATGGTTACTGTGAAAACTGCAGGTTCCCAGGATTTGACGTTGTTCCTCTTATACAATCTGATTGGTGGTTGGTATACCTACCCCTATGAAAAATGATGGAGTGAAAGTCAATGGGAAGGATGACATCCAATATATTATGGAAAATGAAAAATGTTCCAAACCACCAACCAGACTATGTATATATCACTATATATCTATATATTACTGCACATCACGTGATGTGTATCACTAGATCGGTGTTTCATTTCGAGAGGGGGACCCTTTTGTAAGTCCCTCGATGTTCAGAAACATTGAACATGTTGCCCTACGATGGGTACTCATAATCCAAGAATTTTTTGGTAGTACAAGTCCCAACCAAAAACTCCCTCAAGTTTAAGAAACATTGAACATCATTGAACATATTATCATATCAAACCGGTTAAAAACATGTCCTACTATTGGGAATTACTATGGTTATGACTATCCTACTCTTGGGAATTCCTACGGTTACTATGGTTAGTACTATGATACCAAAATCCCTACATTGCACCGATGCTCCGATTAACACTCGCTCGCTCCTTGTGTGCTTTCATGAGGTCCGCATGCTGCTTCTGCAGCGACGTGTGAGATTGAAGCCTTGAGTCGTTGGCCGAAGCCGTGTTTTTTTTTTGGCATGTTTGTAGCATGTTTTACTATGATAACAATCATGAATGTAATATGATGGTTATCTATATTCCAATTACATGAAATGATATATCATAAACATGATATATCATAAAAAATGATATATCACAAAAAAAAAATAATATATCATTAAAACAAATGGTAACAATATGATATTTATAATTTATAACCATCATGGTTTTGTCTTTGATCATAATAACAGGTAGGCTATATTTCACCATAGAATCCCAATACTAGGGATTCCAGTCAGATCATTTATTTTTAAGCATCATTCAACGATCATTGATCCATAGCTAAGCGTTACGAAAATGATGATAGTTATGGTATCACCAAAAATGATGATAGTTATGATACTATGTCACACTACGAAAATGATGATAGTTATGTTATAAATGATTTATATCAATGATATCACCTTCTAAGAAATGGACACACATTATGTAACATGTGGGACAAATATCACCAGAAGACATGGGAATTGACGGTGACATCTGAGCTCAAGACTGACAGAGGCCCCATTTCATCACGTTTCTGGAAATGCGGGCGTTTGTTTACCCTCTGGTAAACTAACATAGCTATTGAAAATGGCCATTTATACTTGATTTACCCATTAAAAATGGTGGATCTTTCCATAGTTGTTTGTGTGTTTACCAGAGGGTAATGGATGGGAACATTGCTTTATTGTTGGTAGACATAGACTCCAACCACCGAACACGACATCACACTGACCTCAACGTTCTCCCAATACATTGGGTAGTTAGGGGCCCCGTATAACATCGTATCACCATTACCCTCAATTTAACATAGCGAACTGGAAAAATCACCATTTCTAATGGGTAAATCAACTATAAATCACCATGTTCAATAGCTATGTTAAATTACCAGAGGGTATCACCCTTTGTTTTATCAACCAACAGAGGTTTTTAACACTGCGCTGAAGATGTCGCGAAACAAGTCATGATGCAAAGCCAGCATCTCCTGCCGTGTCCGGATAGCTCGGCCGCATCCGCTTGCACAAGATATATGTGGTGTGTACGTGTGGCTTTGCAAATACGGCGAATCATAATATTTCCCATTGAAATAGCTATCTTATGGATATCCCTCATTTTCAGACACATCCATTCAGAATATATATGTATATGTATGTACTGTATAGATAGTACATGTCAAGCTTCTATACTTTCCAGAAAGCTGAGTCCAATACTGGTTCTTCTACTGCAGCTGGTCCAGACTGATTTGAATTGGGCTGTGACCAACCACATTGTAGCAGCATTGGGAATTGTCCAAAAATGGAATATCCAAAGGCACTTTGTTCTCATCACCTTCCCTATTCGAATTGCCATTTTGAGCTATACCCGGTCCCATGTCTGGGCAACCCCAAAACACAATCTATCGAGTTGGTTTTGTCCCATTCATATCCACTAATTAACTATATTCATTGATATACATATATGTATATATATATACGTATATTCATGTATATACCATAAAATATCCCGCATAAATCCTGCACAAATCACTCCATTGAGCCCTTCCCCTTCCCCAGCAATAGCAATGCCGTTTTTGATCGCCGGCTCGCCGCGGCCTGATGCGCCTTCTTCCGACGATCCACTTCTTGAGGATCCCTTGACAGGATGAGATCTGCCACGCTCCAAGCCACGCTAGCCCTATGGGGGAAGCACTGACGCTCCCAACGAATTACAGTACTAATTACACTCCCCCCTCAACTTTCTATGTATCTGCATGTGTATATATATAATATCTGGTTGGTGGTGCAATGACCATCTTGAACAATATTAGTAATATTAGTCAATGGGAAGGATTATCCACATATTATGGAAAATAATAAATGTTCCAAACCACCAACCAGTATCTGTACATTGTACCATTAAAAATGCCATAAATTTGGTGTATCATCGATTCTTGAACACATCGATTTGCTACACCGCTACAGCACGAACACTCAACAAACGACTCAACCATTGATGGCTTCACGAGGTAGGTAGGTCCAAGCAATGAAAAAAGCCACACACTGAAGGATGTTGGCAACAAAGCCCCAAGTTTAATGCGAATTGTATGGATTTTGGGAATACATTCGTTTATCAACCAAAAATCCATGAATTCTAGGATTTTAACCATACAAAATGGATTTTGACCCTTGATTCACCCCACCATTCACCGTTTTGCCAAGGTTCACATTCTCCTCCTGACGTGGTGTCATCTGAACCGAAGGAGGACCCATAAACTGCGGCGCCTGAACTCGAGCCATTGCTTTTCTCTTGAAAGGAAGCACCCAAACAGCACAAACACATACAAAAAACATAAATTTCATAAATCATCATGGGCAGATTCTTGGGATATCCCCTGACTGTGGAAACACAACGGAATTCCAGGAAATTCCGGGAGCACTGGCGCGGTCAAGGTACGAAGTGGTTAAATCCCATTGGAGCACTGGCCATCTGCATGGCTCCACCTGGCGACAGCAAGTTGAACAGTGCGGCTGGGTCTGTCCTGAACTTAGCGTGGCTGGGTCTGTCTTCAGTATCGACCAAACAGTAGGCGAAATGGGCTCCACGATATGACGAGATTCGATCACACAAACGCGAACTAAACCGCCCTGGATGATTTGCCACGGGAAATGAATCGCAGACCTACATTCCGCTAGAAACACTAGGTCTGGGGCACCGCTCCCATCATGAGCAGGAAATGGGTTTGCCCGAAATTTTGGGGGTCCCCCCAAATCCAACGGTCGCCATTTTTGGGGTCACCATATTTTCAGGTGCCGTTTGGGGTATCCCCCAAAAAACACCCAAAGTCCTAGGATGTTCATCCAATAATATCGCCGTAGATCCAAGATCTCTTGATTGTTCACACATATCGACTCAATTATTAGTGAAGTGATCCACAATCATGCTGGTACACTTGTAGATATTTGTAAATAGGTATATGTATACATATATTATACTATATATGTATATTATATATATAACACAATACAACACATTATTCAAATCAACTTTCGGTACGGAGTCACAACAGGGCCGGATGTTGGACGATACATAAGATACAGTTATCCTGATGGAATCGATAGAATCAGAACACATACTCACCATCACAACTGTAGGATTGTAGGGAAATTCTGTGTTCCTGTTTTTGGGACGTTCGGCCTCAACCTGAAAATCATCGAAGTGGGGTGTCCAGTTTTTCAACAAACCCATGTTGTACATGTTGCAGCTGGTGCACGTCCAGCACGTCCACTCTACAAACCACTCAACCATAACTTGACCGGGTCCAAGTACTTTGAAGAGACACATTGAGGGTTGGTTCCAACAAACAGCTGATTGCTTGAACCCTGACCACATCACCATGTTTGATGTTCAGAAGTCCTTTTATATCCCATTAATCCCCCAAATAAATCTCCATGATTTCCTCCACTACAGTGGGCTATTTGTTCATTATAAACCCATAGTTGACTAACACAACTGGATATATTCTACATTTCAGCTTGATACACCGATAAATCCCCAATATTTATTGCTTAAAATCATATGTCCATATATGTCCCCAGTTTTACTGGACCACAACACCTATGTTTCATGGCTTTTATCACCAGTTTTACCCATATCTTTGATGTTTTTCGCATAGTTTTACTATATGTTTCATGGTTTTGTATGGTGTTCTCAGTGTTCTCCCCATTTCTTCCAATGTTTTACCCAATATACCCTCCGGTGATCTAACATAGCTATTGAAAAAATTGCCCATAGAAATCGTTGCTTTACCCATGACGCATGAAAAATGGTGATTTTCCATACCCTCTGGTAAACACACAAAAAACTATGGAAAGATCCACCATTTTAATGGGTAAATCCACTAGAAATTGCCATTTTCAATAGCTATGTTAGACATAACCAGAGGGTATCATATCAAAAAAAACATTATAGCCATGATTATCCATTATTCACCATCCATTCACCACTATTAACCACTATTAACTATGGAAAATCACCAGTTTTTCAATGGCTAAATCCACTATTATGGCCATTTTCTATGTCGCAAACTGTGACAGTTTAACCAGAGGGTAAACCTCCATTTTCCTATGGTTTTCCTATGGTTTTCCTATGGGTTTTCCTACTTTTTTCGATGTTTACCAGAGGCCATCAGCCAGAACTCCCATGGTTCCACCGTTTCGTTGCCGCAGGTTCTGGAGCTCCATCTCCATCAATTGGAGCCGTTGATCCAAGCCCATCCTACGAAAACCGGCCACCGTGAGGATGCTCATATAGATAAATTCTACATTATACATATGTGGCCATAATATATATATATATATACGTATATATATATATGTATATATATGTATATATATATATGTGTATATTATATATATATGTGGCCATAATATATATATATATTTACATATATATATATCAGATATTGTAGATATAAGTCCAAAATGGATAGACTCATGACTCATGATGCTTAAGAGAAAATATTGGAAAACAATAGAAGAGCACGTATCATGCGTATGTTGAAAACATCTATTTTTCCCGGTGATGCTGTTTGGGATCCCAAACAAATGATGCAAAAAATATGTCATTGACGTGTCATGTCCATGAAATTGTCTTTTTCGTTTAAGTATGTATGAACATCTGTAAATAAAAAGCTCGTAGAAAACCAGATGGAAAAGTTAAAGGGTATGGTTCCAGTATTATTTTGTTATGGAATTCACGGGTTGCAGAAACATGGTGGAGCATGAGACGGAACAATTGTGGGAATCCAAGCCACGAAGGTCCCTCTCTAAGGGTTGCTTGGTGAACATGCGAAAAACCTGGAACCGTTTAAAAGGGAATCATAGGAAAGATCCACCATTTCTAATGGGTACAGTAAATCCACTAGAAATGGCCATTTTTAATGGAACATTCAATGGCGTGGACACCCAGTTCAGGTGCCATTCCGATCTGCCAAGACACGGTTGCATCGACATTTCAACTCCTCCGCCGCGTCACTTCGGCGTCTGGATGGATGCATGGACGGATCTGAGACTAAAGGTCTGCAGCCAAGAAATCGCGTCGTGGCGGGCACCATGTGGATTGAGTCATGATTGAGAGATACAAAAAAAAAGGTCATGATGGAATATGATGGATATTGTTTGAAGGATTTGGAGGTCGAACATGTACCGCATTCCTTTCGCTCATGTGACATTTCACATTACGAAGACCAGGCTAGTTCTTTACCACCAACTGCGAAGACCCATGGACCCATGGACCCACAAAATTGGTCATGTATGGGTAAGGTTGCTTTATACCAGGCCATCCACACTTGTGGGCATGGCGATTTCATCACCATGCCTTGGAAACTGCCAGTATCTGGCTGCATGATACTAATTCATTAGCTTAAATGGGTGTTTCCTAATATGGGGTACCCCTGTTCATCCATTTCTAGATGGGATTTTCCATAAATAACCATCCTAAGCTCGCTTGGGGTACCCCCATGACGTCCCATGACTTTGGAAACTATCATTTACTAATCACCATTAGGGCTTATCAACTACATTATTAACTGGTTGGTGGTTTCAACCCATCTGAAAAATATGAGTTCGTCAGTTGGGATGATTATTCCCAATATATATATATATGGAAAGTCATAAAATTCCATGGTTCCAAACCACCAACCAGTTAACCATGATTATTAGTCCCATTAACAAAACCTAATGATTTTCTTGCCGTTCCCCGAATCCCAAACCGACCGAACCGACCTGATTTGGCTCGGCATCCACAGACTTTCGGATCACCTGCCGTTGCTTGCCACGTGGCTTTTTGCATGGAAAAGTGTGATGCAATCGGTTGGGCACCAGGAACAACCATATGTATATATATATGATTAATTATATAATACATACATATATATATACACATATAATCTTTCCCCAGTGGCTATACCAAAAAAAGTGATGCAAGTCGCTAACTTCAAGAGGAATGCTCTATTGTATAGCCTGGTGCACAATCAAGTGCAATGGGTTGAGGCAATGAATTGTTCTTTTCATGGATATTGATGGCCGCATGTGTTTAGTCGCCCTGCCATCCCGCCCCGCAAAAGAAAAATATGCATGGAAACCGTGGAAAACCATGGAAAACCATCAAGAAAACATATCAATTCCTACACTAGACTCTAGAAGTGGGATTCAACTGAGACGCAACAGTCTAATCACACCATATCTTCCACATCGCACTGCGCCCGCAATCGTAGCAAATCATTTTTCACCATCGAATGGCAGCTGACCCTACCCACAACAAGCACACATTCGAGGAGCACACTTTCATCGCTATGTAGCCAATGATAGACCAGTTTGCTACAAATGATTGGCAGTTGCAACACCATGGACAACACCAATGGATATGGGTCAAATGGTCAAAGCCATTTGACCCCGGTCGCATCGGCCTCGCGTTGCTCATGGGAGGTGCCATTCTCCATCTCGAAAGCCAAGTAGGCTCCCCAGGCCTGGTGTCATGGTGGGATGAACGAATGGTTTTCTGAAAGCCACTGGATATACAAAGTTCTTATGGAATATGCATGTAGTTACCAATAATTTCATCTCAATAGTTTACTATAGTCATTGATAGTCATTGGAGATATTTCAGGAAGGTAAATAATTGATAAATCATGGGAATATAACGGATGTAGAACAGTTCGAGCGTGCCGTGGTGCAAACAGCCCCTTTTTTGGGGTCTCCACCGAGCTGACGACGGTGCCCTGACGGTGCAACCAAGTGTCATCACCCAGGCGAGGGTTCAGCGTCACGGCACGGTTGAACCTCAGCAAAAGCCGCGTAGGGCGATCGTTGATGTACCCAGGATGGCCTGGAGATTCATTCGAGGTGATCATTGGTTATCTATGGTTACTATGGTTATCTAAGTTATCTATGATCATTATTATTGGTTATTAAAATGGATCTAAATGGATCTAAATGGATCTAAATCTGGTTGGTGGTTGGTATAGCCACCACTCTGAAAAATGATGGAGTGAAAGTCAATTGGGGTGATGAAATATGGAAATTCATACAATTCCATGGTTCCAAACCACCAACCAGTCATGGTAAATGGGTGGGTAAAAATGGAGATTCCTCCCGGGTGAGATTCCCTTGAAAACGAAGAGTGGTCTACCAATTGGGATGTGAATCACCACCCAAAATTTTTTGGGCGAGTTCTTCTTCCCGCCTTTGAGGTACAGAGACTTACAGTTCCACCTTTCCAGAAGTACCTGGACATCATT